TTAAAAAGACATTTTTTTATAAGTTGTTGTTCATTATTTAAATAAATTGTTAATTACTTTTAATGCTAAATATAAAGACTCAGTAATTAGTAAAGAAAATGTTAAAACACAATATTTTATGCAAATTATTCATTGTCTTACTTAAAGTTATAAATTAAATAATATATATTAAATACATTTAATATAATGAATGTCTTTATGTTTTCAAAATAGATCAGTTATACCATAAGTAAAATATTAATTTTGTTTATACTTTTTAATTTTTACATCAATTTTATTGATTGATGTGATTGGCGCTCATTATAGTTAACATAGATTCCCATTAATTTGATTTACAACAGTTGCTCTCATATAAATATTAGTGAATATAACTTATATATAATAATGTATAATATTATTATAGAATAAATACAGTATATTGTATACATAAAAAAATAATATAATACACATATCGTAAAAAAGGTGTTTCCAGTGCATTGAAATGTGTGATAATAATAATGCAATGATCGCAACATTGAATGCCAATACAGAATCTATATTTGTCTTAAATGCCTTAATGAATCACAAGTAAATATATTTAAATGTTTTATTATATAATTATCAACATGTAAACAAAAACACTTAATATATATATATATATATAGTTTATAAAACAAATGACATCAAATCAATTAAGTTATAATAACAAACATAATGTATATCATAACAGAATATGAATAACAAACTAACGTCTATTTTTATAAGTTTATTGTTTAACATCATATTTATTTACATTAAATAATAGCAATACAAATAAATATATGTCAAATAGTATCAAATTAAGTGCACATTTTTAATAAAAATAGTAAATTATATTTTAAGAAAGTTTACGAAATTGACTTTTAATGATATGTTGTGATAAAATAGAGAGCAAAAGATAAGAGGTTGACATGAAAAACATCACATAATGTATATTATTGAATGCTTCATAATATACTTTATATAACATTGCTATAATGCATTCACTTTAATATAAATATATAAATCAAATAATTTCAATAATTATATGCAAACAATTTTATTATAAATTATCATTTCCTGATATATTAATTTTCAAAATTATTATACAATAAATTGGTACGTTTTTTGTATTAACACTTAAAAAGCAATTTTTATATAATAATAGTATTTCCAAAATATAGATTGAGTGTTAAAATATGTGTCTCATTGGTTGTCGTCAATGAAGGAAATTACGGCCATTAATAGCTTAGATGCCGATAGCTTTGTCACAGCAAATGCAAGTTTATGACTAAATTAATGGCTATACGTTATATAAGAGGTGACCAATAGTTTGACTAAAAGCCAACAAATGAATCCATTTTTGAAGGTAACACCACTAATAAACATGAGAAACGGTAGTCATCATCATAGTAACTGGCGATTACTCGACAACAAAATCAAAGTCACTAATATTGGATAAAACATAACTATGTTGTGCAGCGAAAGGGCATTACCGGTATTGAGGAGGATGTCCTCAAACTGGTTACTGTTTAATGTTGATGATAGAGAGCTAATATATTTTAATATATTTCTCTTTTATTCATTCAACATACAGTATATCTTTATAAGTTTCATCTCAATACTAACTAAGTGTATGTACAGTATACTCTATATACCATATATACAGTGTAGTTGAGCAACAGTAACCATATATATAGTATATACTGTATATATATATAAGTATAACTCATTTTTCATATTTTTCGCATCAAATAACTATATTATTGTCTTTATAGATATGCTAATATACAATGTATAAATCCATTAATATTTGACTAACAATATATAATAACGCAATTTATAATAAGATAATCTGGTATATATTAATAGACAAACTGTATATTACTGTACATTAAATATTACAATAAATCATTGACTTAATTTAAAATTACAATTTTACTTTAATATAACAGTTGCTTAAAATTTTTATTAAATTTCTATAATTCAAAGTCTATTTAAATAATGAAACATTTATGTTATTTGCATATTTATATACACATCGTAAAAAATGTTATTAATACTTAAATGAATATAGATTTGAATTCCCAAAAAGGTATAACTATAATCATTATTTGCTAATAAAATGTTTTTATTTTTACATAAATGCTATACTGGGAGTTTGTGATGAACCAAAAGTGCAATTAATAAAATAATAAATGTCATCGAATTAATAGTACAACAAAAAAATTATATCTAAAAACATAAATGTTGCTATATTTCATTAAATTGCTTTCTCATTATACAATATAGTACTACTACTACTACATGTACAATATATACAGAATCATATTACACTTTCAAATAATATTTCACTCCCTATTTATAATTTATCAAACTTACATTTATAGAAATCACTTATTTTATGCAATTATTATTATTATTATTATTATTATTATTATTATTATTATTATTATTATTATTATTATTATTATTATTATTATTATTATTATTATTATTATTATTATTATTATTATTATTATTATTATTATTATTATTATTATTATTATTATTATTATTATTATTATTATTATTATTATTATTATTATTATTATTATTATTATTATTATTATTATTATTATTATTATTATTATTATTATTATTATTATTATTATTATTATTATTATTATTTCTATTATTATTATATTTGTTTAAATAGTTCAAATTGAATTAAATTTAAATTATATAAATTACAATTAATTAATGAAATAAGTTGTTACCTTTCAATAAGGTTCCTATCATTATTTGTTGTGAATCTTAAGTATTTTCAACTTATTATTATTATAATATAATTATTATAATCTTTAACAAAAAATAGTTGAGAACATTAATTTTTTAATGACTCGCTGTTATTGTATCAAAAGTAACTCATTATATAAACATAAAATTCAATGATTTTACAAAATTCTCTACAAAATCTATTATAAAATGTTTATTATTATTATTATTATTATTTCAAAAGAAATATATGAGAGAAAAAGTAAATATTAGAGATTTGTTACACAACTAAATAAATTGAATGATAAGAAACTCAATGTAGAGAGTATTGAATTGAATGAAGTAATCATTGAGTGGTGACAAACAAATATTTAAAGAATCAGAATATTTTTGACAAAAATTTATATAAATATAATTTTTATTGTGTTATATAACAGAATATTCTTTCAGTTGAAAAATAAAAATTGAATTGAAAATTGAGTTTTTGTTTGTACGGTATGTTTGATGAAAGACTTGAGATACATCTGATATATAGATTTATACAAATATAAAAACATTCAAATATTAGCGCATGTGATATAACTCATTAAATAGTGATTTTAATATTCATTTAATAATATAACATTTCTATTGTAAATAGCATCAGTTAAATTTAATGCTCTGCATGACTTTATTATTAAAATAAATATATATTATTATAATATCTTGTTTACCGATTGCTTAATGCAAACCAAATTCATTATACTGTTGAATAGTATTGCCTAAAGTATAGTACAACTATTGAAAGATATGGAGAAAAATGTTTTCAATATATACTGTATATATAACCTATTGAATAGTATTTTTCGTAAAATTGTAAATTCAATGCACGGGTTTTACATACGAAATCTCAGGGGACAACTCACTCATATTAATAATAATAGAAATAAAAACTTTACAAAACATTACATATACAATATACTTTAACACCATTAAGTCTACTAATATATTATATAACGTTAGTATAGTGTTTATGATTTACTCATATAAGTCATAACTAGAATCTCCATAAACTAGGAAAATCATATTTTCTAGTATTTATTTATTTGAATGAAAAACAAATTATAAAAATCAAAGTAAAATGAAACCAATTTTAGATTACTTTAAGTTCTAGATTCTAGTATTAATCCTATATATCTTAGATTTGTAGCCCAATAATTGGATTTTAAACATTTTAAACAGATTTTAAATAATTAAATTATAAAATGAATGTTGAAATGAATATATTATAAAAATAATTACATATCTTAATATATATATTCTGCATATGTATAATGTGTATGAGTAATGAGTAATAAAGTATGTAATTTATAAATGTAGAGTATATTATTATACAGTATATAAATATATATATATATATATATATATTAAAATTTATCAAATTTATATTTTTATCTAAATATAGAAAAATTATATAAATAAATTAATATTATAACTTCATAATCTACTTAAAACTATAATATATTTTTTCCTATAAACCAACTATTATAAAATTAAAAAATCAATAAATTATTTTTCATAAATTTCCTAGATAATTAATATAATTATCATACCTATAAATGATAATTTTTAATTAAATTTTATGTATTTATTGATCATAACATTGGTATGACATATAATCAGGTTTATAACCGGTATGTGAGGAGTAATAACTTGCAATAACCGTATAACCGTTTATTTAAATTATATATATATATATATATATATATATAATATTCGGTGTCTTAACATAGACACAACAAAATTATTAATTTGATGTAACTTAAACATGTATGTATGTATGTTAATGTTAATATTAATATTAAAGATAATATTTATTTATTTATATTTCAATTAACATATCAAAACTATTTAAAATTTATTTTTTCATAATTTCATTAAATATTGCTATAAGACAGACATTAGACATTGAAATTGCTATATAAATATAGAGATGCATTGATCGCTATAATCGATGGTAAAAATTGTAAGCATACCTGAGCTCAAAAATTATATCATAATATAATAATAATAATAATATGACATAATATTGGTTCATATGGTGGTAATATTTGCTAATGAGTGGACAGGGAGTTAACTCAATGACTTTAATTAATATGTTGTTATATAACAAAAACGTGAAATCATTAGTAAAAGTCATTATAGTGTGTCAATAGCTGTCAACACATACAGAGCACTGGTATAACATATAATATAAGATAACATACCTTTCCCTGCATAATGAGTCTTATGGTAAGTGTAACGGCGGGTGCATCGACTGCACCAGCTTTGACTGACTGGTCATTGTGTTGATCATTCATTGTAGCCATTGTGGTGTCGGTGTGTGTGTGTGTGTGTGGTGTGTCGGTGTCTTGGGATGTGTTAGACTATTGATGACATGCCATCTCTAGAAATGCTGTGTCCAAACAACTCAACGATGGCTCACTAGTTAATAGTGGGATCCACTCAGTCAAAGACATATACACACCACTCATACAGACATTGAGAGTGAGTGCGAGTCACTGACAGACTCACTTACATCACTAGCATATCACCTGCACTGGTATGTTGTGGTACAACATATGACACCTATCATCAACTATTGCAATCATATGATTCACACTTTTCAATGTACTCACTGTATTACACAATGCACTCAAATTATATAATACTTATACAGTATGTTCATTGAAATTATGACACGATATTCACTGATAGCCAATATGTTTGAATGACTATTCAATAGAAAACAGTTTTTAATAGCAGAGATGCACTTAATATTACATTACAGTCCAAACAATAGTATATTTAATAATCCGATTATTTTATTCATTTGATTTGCTATTTTTCAGACCATAAATGCAACTCAATATATATAATATCTTACAGTATTGATATATCTTTACATATTACTGTTTATATAAATTATATATAATATATTAAATATATATTAATACATAACCAACGGATTATCATTGAATGCATCAGTTTGTCCTGTCGTCAGCACCGTTGTTGGCATCAAAAAACCAATTCAATTATATAAAATAAAAATACAATATATAGGTATAAATCTTATATAAAACTTGTTTTATATAAGATTTACAGTAAATGTCTATCAAATATATATACAACTGTTTCATTTTTTTGCACTTAAACTCTATAATAACTGAATTTTTATGGATTTTTACTCGAAAACTAATCTAATTTAATATATATATATATATACTTATATTCTTATATATAACATTTTTCTCAACTTTACATTTTATATTAAAGAATAATAGTAATAATAATTTCGTAAAAAATCTAATAATGTTTGTTATAAATAAATATATTTTCGTAGCAAAAAATTATTTGAATTTAATTTAAATAAATTAGAATTTTAAAGTTTTTTGCTAAACATAATTATTTTTAATAATAATTTATAATATAATCACATATTTTATTATAAATATAAAGCCTATTCCCAGGAATGTTTATGTGAAGTAAAAACAAAAAATTAATTAATTCAATCACAAAACAGAATATTCTTATATAAACACAATTTTGTCTAATATTATTAGTAAAATATAACATTTTAAAAATTGTTTTTATTAAATATTCTAAAAGTAAAATTTTTCAAAAAAGATAAGTATTTTAAATGTATTTTTTACGAAATAATATAAAGAAATAATGATTTCTACAACTTTTTTGTTGTACTACTTCTATATGTTTGATCCGATTTTAATTTGATTCAAAACTAGTCTTATTAGTGATAAAAGTCGTAATCTTTTGTAAATATATAGAGTGTCACAGAAAGCATAATATTATGAAAACTTGTATCTCATTTGGAGTTATAGTATAATATTATATATATATATATTTGTTAGCATTTTTGCTCTCAACAGCATTTCAATCAATAAGATGAGAAAAAAGTGAAATGAGAAACAAAATAAAGAGTAAAGTGAGGAATGTATAGATTTTTATTATAGACTATTATTATATAAATAAGAGAAATGTTTATAAAAGTCAATTTCTTGGGAATCACACATTTGTCATCAACCTATAAACTAGTGATTCAAATGACAAATTTGACATAAAATAACATAAAATATGAGATATATTAGTATCGGATTCTTAACATTTATATATTATATAGTTTTGTTTGTTTATATCACTATTGGTATGTCTTTCTTCATTAGGATAAACTTATTTTGAAGTCAAACTCTGATTTCTATTTAAATAATTAATGTTTTTTTCTCTAACTGTGTTCCGACTTTCCTATATTATAGCATAAAGAGTTGATTACTTTTTCTCATTTTTCATCTCTACTACCAGTGCTTATTACAAACATAACAGTGACCTCAAATTCAATATAATACTATAGATTACTACTGACTACAATAAACCACAAAAGTTATTACATTAATTCGCTTAAATTAATATTTAATTTCGATAAATTACATCAAAATTTCAATTATAAACTTTAAATAAGTAAACATTTGTTAATAAAACATTAATTATTAACGAATATAGCATACAATAACATATAAAATAAAACTCTGATTATATAGATATTATTAAAAACAGGATTTCCAAGTAAAAAGTCAATCAAACATTAGTTTATTATTTGTCAGGAAAAGACATATTATATTTTATTTATATAATAATCGATATTTTGCAACACAATATTATAGCACTATAGTTGACCATCAAATGCTATATGTTATCACAAAATGTGCATTTTCTTAAATAATACATAATATTAAGGTATATTACTTTATATAATAGTACAATACTGTATATATTGTAGAGTACAGTACTGTATTGTACATTTAATGATAAAAAATAGTGTGTAAACATCAGAAATTTGCACTTACTTTGCAACAAAAATATTTTTATTTAATATTTATGATTTCATTTTTATACTTTTATATTTAAAAATGAAATAATATCATATTAAAATAAATATTTTTAAAAAATAATTATCTGTCTTAATATATATGTTATTTTCTTATTTTGTGCTAAATAAATGTTATACAATATATTTATATTATATTTCTATATAAATAATTGATTTGTTATTTGCCATTACCACATTAGCATTTTATTTACAGTATATTAAGTAATCATGTGATTCATTAGTTATTTAACTATTACCGATATTTCGGGAAAAATATTAGATTAATTTTTAGTTTAAATGTCTATAAAAATATTTAGCAATTCATTGGGATAATAGAAAGTACTTTCAAATAATTTAAGATATATGTGAGGGATTACGTTAACGATATAAAGATATATAACATCATTAAAGTAAATGGTATCAAATGATACGTTTGCTTATAATATTAGATATTGTGTTGAAATCACGAAATATGTGATGTATATAAATATATATATATAAATTAAAAGATATGTTCGTTAATATGATAGTTAATGTGATGAAATTTATGTACATCACTGTGTGTATCATTGAATTCAATGATATATATAATTTGCATTTATTATACAGTATATTGAAGGCTTGTTTTTGGTGTTACATTCAATAAGATTAGTTGTTTTTGGGGGCAAAATACTAGACAAATGCCATCCCAATAGTCTGTCTGTTCAAAGGTTTGCCATAATATACTTGAATTGAAGACTTAAGGGAATCCACTCTTTCGACTCTTTCTTTCATTTATTTTTATTTTCTTCTTCATCTTCAGCTAACAATACACTCCACTCCTCACAACAGTTTAGATGACTTTACTTATAGTCATATAAACTATTTGTTAGTCATTCGCTCTTAGGGTATATACAGTACAATCGTATGTCTAAAATGATGCCTAACTGAGTCATGGATGGCAAATGAAATACAATAGTACTACACCTCATGTAATGCAATGCTAACCAATTGAATGTACAATAGTTAACAAATAAACTGCAAAACATTGTCAGATCAATGATTGTTCTGTTGTATTGTTATTTGTCAACCAATACCTTAAATATTACTAAATATTACATAAAAGATACACACATACACACATACACACACATACACACACATACACACACATACACACACATACACACACATACACACACATACACACACATACACACACATACACACACATACACACACATACACACACATACACACACATACACACACATACACACACATACACACACATACACACACATACACACACATACACACACATACACACACATACACACACATACACACACATACACACACATACACACACATACACACACATACACACACATACACACACACTCACTCAATTATTGAATGCATCTCAGGTTTTATCACATGAGTATATAGAAAATTATACTAAAAATGCAATGCTTTTATAGACAACTAATAAAAAGTATTATTACTTTTTTGTGATATTTTTCATTTATTTAGTAGCTGTTTGACTAATGATTACTTTGTATGACTTTAAAAGTTATTTGGTCACTAAAAGACTGTCATTTAATTTATGACAAATAAATGTTTTAATTATTTATGTTTACGATCACTAACTCATACGATATTAACTATAAAGAAACAGTAAAATCCAATACTATTAAACATTTAAATTGTTGCAAATATTATGTTTTATTAATTACTGTAGTTATAAGATAACTAAATGAGATAATTATTTCATAAGATTAGTGACAAAATACCAAAACTTCTATTTAATCTTCTCTTTTAGTTAAAAAAAACATTTTTATATAAAAAATCATTAAATATTTGCTACAATATACAGTATGTTATATAATATATATTTATGTATTAATACTACAGTTTAATAAAAGTGCAAATTTTGCCTCAAAACACATTTTAGATTTCAAAATATTAAAACACAAAACAAAAAATATTTTTATATCAAAACAAGTATTAAAGTATTTAAATTGATTAAAATTACATATTTATAATCTGCATAATATTAGTTTGCAATTTGTCTTATTTGTAATCATATTTGTTATATAAACATATAATTAATTTTAATACCAATTTTAATTATAAGATTTGATATTTGTTTTAACGAATAATGTCCGAATTTTTTTAAAAATTTATTGAGAATAATATTGCAAGTTTGCAATTGACTTTAATAATGCTGAAAGGACCTAGGATTATTTAGACTCATTTATAAGTCATAATTATAAATAAATATTTGTTAAAATTTTATAAATTGAAAAAATAAAGATATCCAACTATGTCATAGGATATCTATATTTTCTCAATTTAACTTTATAATTCAATTATGTGTTAAACATTGTGAATGTATTGAATACTATTATAAAAAGACTTATAATTTACTAATATTTATGTTTATAATTGTAATTATAAACACATAATTAAATTATAAATACTAATAATCTATTGAACTGCGATTGCGATGTATTAATATGAAACTTGTTTGTCAATAAAGATTAACTAAAAGTTTGTAATAAAAATATTCATTACGGTATCAAAGATTTATGCCTTAAAGCAAATACTTTTATCTGTAGATATTATATAAAGTATAATTAGTATAATGTAAACAAAAATATATATAAATTTATATATAATTAGAGTTCAGTCAACTTTCCAAATGAGGGAAGTTCCCTAATAAAATCCCTCCAATTTTCCTGAAAATAGAGAAAATATTATATTTTCCCTCCCTAGTCCGTTAGACAGGATAATATATTTTGTATTTCTACAATAAATAATAACAAAACTTATTTTTTTGCATAAAATTTCATTGAAATATATAAAAATAAATTTGAATTCAATTAATTTAGTATTTAATAAAACAATATATTTTGTTTACTCAAAATACAGTTTAATAAAACATTTGTTATTGAAATCATATAATAATAAAATTAGTTGTTTTATGATTCAATAGGTGGTAACACAAGGAAATAGATTCTCTGGGAATTACCAGAGAGTATGGAAAATATGGAACTTTTGGAATATGAGAAAAGGAAAGGAATATTTTCGTTCTAAGTTTAGATATATTTAAAAAAAAATTAAAATGAAATATTTTTAATTAATTTTATTAAAAAACTGTTTTTATTTATGCATAAATTGTGTAATTTGTAATATTTGATTATTATTGTAGAATTTTCAGTACTTATGATGTAATTTATTTATCACTTATGTATATAACAAAAAATTATATTTTTAAAATTAATAATGAAATACAATAGCAATAGTATAAAAATCCATATATATTATAATTATATAGATAAGAAAATAGCAAACATTAAATTTATATAAGTAATTGTTTTTATAGTTATCCAGACAAATTACTTTAAAATTTATTATATAAGTTAATTACTGTAGTATACATTAAATTTTTATTTAAGTAAAATATCAATAATATCTACAGGTATTACTTATACAACAACTTCTAAAAAATTATATATTATATCAAATTTGATTCACATTTATTTATTATTTATTCAAAACTTAATGACTAAGGTATGGCTATAAAAAAATAAATACTATCAATATATAGCATTTTATTCTTAAGTATCAATAATAATTGCAATTAATCAATAGTAAAATCAATTAAATAATGATAATTAAGGTATTAATGATATGCTGGTAATGTAACAAAACATTAATATTGTAGTTTTGTCTCTTAATTACAGCTAACTTCATAATATACTGCATAATATTAAATAATAGTAATACAGTATCAATGATTATAACTGTAGATTTAATAAACAAATATACTATATAAATATATCATTGAACTTATTAATTTAAATTTTGTTACTCTAGCTTTTAAAAATATTATCATTAATATAATATAAATAAAAATTAAGGTTTGGCATTTTATTATTACAGTATTATTATCATTACTATTGAATATACAGAAAAATTATTTTTACATAGAATATCATTTTTAAAAATATAATTAAATTTAAACAATAAAAATTAAAGATTAACATATTTGGATTTAAATCAATAATAAATTAATAATAAAATTTAATTTAATAATTTAGAATAATAAAAATAATAATTAAATCATAAAATTAAGTGTATATTGAAATCATAGAAAGTTGAAAACAAAATCATCTATTAAATGGCATCTTATAATAGTGTAGTTGTATTGCCTATAATTGGATGTTTCAAATGCATGGCTCGACATAATTGCCGGGAAATAGACCAGTGATGCCATCCATGACTCCCTCATACCATCCGTCATCGTTCTTACGAATCACATAAATGACTGAATTCTCTTGGAATGACAGTTCATCGTCTTTGTCGGCGTTATAATCATATATTGCAACCACTAAATACATTCAAAGATAAACAATCATTAGATATCATATTTTTTATTTTATAATTTATAAAAAACACACCTTTTTCTAAATAATTATTTGGCACCCAATCCGGCTCTTGATTGTGTCGTTCTCTATAGCCGTTCATAGTTTGAGGAATGTGTTCCATATTATAAACATTCATATGATGATTATCATCTATGGATGGTGGAGGTGGTAATGGTGGCGAAGCTATCAATAAATACATACATTTATTATAAATTTATTTTCATATATAGCGGTAATTAAATAATATAGTCATATACTGTACCATTGGAGTGCCTCTCATAGTGATCGTTGTGTTGGTTGTGTTGTAAATGCATTGGTGGCGGGTCTGGCAAAGAATCACTAATAGGAGATAGCATTGGTATCTCATGTAGTGGTGGTGGAGGAGGCGGTGGTGTTGGAGAAGGCGGGACTACAAAGTTTGCCGTATTATTATTATTATGTTGATTATATGTCGGATGGGTAATGGGGTGCACCATACCTATTGGTTGGCCTTGTTGTGACCCCTGAGTTGATTGGCTATAATGTGAGTGATTTTGACCACTCATTTGTTGCATAAGATTGTGTTGTTGAATAACACCACTTTGATGTCCCAAACCCAATGGTAATGTAGAATATCCTGAACCGCGTCTATTATTTTCAATAGCCTTCGGGTGACCCAATGGATAGTTAGGCGCATAATTGCTGGGGACCTGTGGGGGTGCAATGGGTGGCGCAGGAGTTCGGTATTCTTTATTTCCTCGGGACAGACTTCCTACGTTTCTAATGGTCTGCGGAGGTGTCGGTGGTTTAGTGGTGGGCGCGGGTCCGCTACTCATCATTAAAGTTCCCGATCCATTCTTCAACGTATATGACTTACTTCGCGGTGCATTTTGCGACGCTATCTTAACTCCGTGTCCAATGTCATCCAATACTGAATAATCAATTGGTTTTCTTATATATTTTATCGGTCGCTCGGGATTTGCCGGAACTAATATCTTGTGTTGTCTAACAGTGCTCTTATTGCTGGTCAATATACCGATCTCTCTTCGGGCGACTTTCTCTTTATGAATGTCAACCGTTTGTGAAATATGATTGATTTGGGACTCCATTTCTGCCAACTGTGCCGTTTGTAAGTCCAACATATGAAGCAAATTGTAGGCCAATGTGTTCACCTGATAGGCCACCGAAGCTAATGATTGAGTCGTATAGTTCTTAGTCTCTTCCAATGCCGACCTCTTGTTATCCGACTATAAATATTAACAAAAATTAATTAAATTAACAAAAATATAATAAATTTAATGATTATAATAATAAAGACCTGAAAGTAGTTGGTCTCGCAATAGTCGGCAACTTTGTCCAGATTTGAATGCGAGTCAATCAGGTTTTGTCGGCCTTCGGGGATCTCATTCTCAATCAATGATATCAAGTCAGCCATCGCTGATGGCATGTCTTGAGAGATGTTGTGCTCGACTGTCATCTCTTATCTGGCGATGTCTTTGACCTCTAATACCTACTGTGGTCTCAGTTAAGCCGATTATGCCGTCAAATGTTTATTTGTGAGCCAATTGTCACTAATTAATTGATATCTATTTTGTACATTACTTTTATGACAATCAAATTGTCGATTAAATTAATAATTATTAAATTATTTATTAAAAAAATATTCAAATTAACGCATAATTCATAAAAAATTAATAAAATGTTTTCAAAAACACTATTTATTTATTGACTAATATATCAAAACAAATTCATTTCACAATTAAAATGGATTTTTATTTATCAATACATTTCACTATAGATGTCGCTATCATTGCAAACATTTTCAAATTAATTGTCAAATACTGTATTAATTATAATATTTTTTACAATCAAATGAAGTTATTAATAGTTAATAAAATAACAAAATAAAATAAATTATCTAAATATTTATTATAAAAATTTATTTATTTATATAATAATTATTGACAAATACTGTACTAAATGTAGAAATTAATAATATTTTTAAACTAAAAGCATATAAACTGTATAACAATTACAGATCCCTTACATAACATATTCATTAACTCTGTATTGAAAACAAAACAAATATTAAATATTTTGATGACATTATTGATTGTCAATAAAATTATTATATATTATATATTAATAGAAATTTGTTGAATATTTTGTAAAATAATAAACAAATCAATTGTCACAACAATTATCACAACAATTAAGTTTAATATCAATTATATACTGAAGACATGTCTACAAACACTACTCAAGTGAACAATACAACCGACAAGAAGAAAGGACCCAAAAATTGGGATCAAATTGTCAAAGATATTGAGGCTGAAGAAGAAGAGGAGAACAAAAAAGGTGAGGGAAGTGTTGATGAACTCTTCAAACAGATCTATGCAAATGGCAGTGAAGAAGTGAGACGAGCAATGAATAAGAGCTTTCAAGAGAGCGACGGAACAGTTCTGTCGACCAATTGGTCAGAAGTCAGCAAATCTAAAGTCGATGTCAAACCACCCGAAGGTTGTGAACATAAAGAGTGGAATTAATGAGTGATTAAGACATTACTTACCATTGATGTCAATACCCATTGTTTGTCTAATATTTATTAACAAAATTAAAATTTATTTACAAATTTTATAGCAATTTATTATATATTTATATAATAAACTCATTTTAAATGTATATTATTTCTAACATTTGTCAAAATTAATAAATTAAGTAAATTATCAGTTATAAAGTAAATTATTTATTTAGTTAATTTAAATAATAATAAACTAAAATAATTTATAATTAAATATTTAATCCAATAGCTAATTATATAATAGTATGAATATTTACCGGTAATATAATTTTAAAACAATATTGAAAAGTATTGTTTAGGAATTGGTATATAAAGTCTATTTTTATTATATGAGAAGTTATGCCTTATAATTGAAAAAACTGTGTCAATAATGTCATGCATTTATCTTCAATACTAGATATTAAAATTCAGTGAAATTGATGTTTCTATGCAATTATGGTTGTATTTATAGATAATTAACAAATTATAATAGAAAATATATGATAAATAATTGTTTCTACATATCTAAACTTTTTTACATATAATTTTGTGACTATAGGTTTATACTGGATATACAATAATTAATGGGTAAAATATAAACTAATTGTAAAATAAAAATACATTCAATTTAGTCGAGTCCTATCATTGAATGACCCGTAAGTAACGAAACTTTGCTTTCTTTCATCTTCTGAATGGCAGACAAAAAGTCATTCATATTCATTGGTCTTAAACTTGATATGACATCCGGTGATGTAAACTCTTCTCTTTCATCACAATCACCGGCACTTCCATTATTGAGAAGTTGAGTTGAAAACTCTTTGACTCTGAACATCGCTGAACTTCTGCACATCTCTTTTAAATCACTACCAGAAAATCCTTCAGTGATATCGGCAATAGTCACTAAATCGACATTTTCATTGAGATCTTCCCTTTCAAGTACTAAATCAATGATAGCTCTTCTTTTTTCTTTGTTTGGTAACTGAATTTGAAACATAGCAGGCATTCGACGAAGTATTGCTTTATCCACATCTTGTGGTCGATTAGTGGCTCCCATAACAATCACCTGACAGTGTTTAGCGGAGATGAGTCCGTCCCATAAGATCATGAACTGTGCCTTCATCATTGCAGTGGCCTCGTGGTCATGAGTCTCGCGGCTCCTCAAGAATGAATCGATTTCATCGATAAATATAATACAGGGCTGAAGTTTAAGAGCAAGTGTGAAGACTGCGGCCGCAAGTTTTTGCGACTCTCCGTACCACTTGTCTGTAAGCGCCGGTACCTCTAAATTGATGAATCGGGCGCCCGCCTCCTTTGCCGTGGCCTTTGCTATCATTGTTTTTCCACAACCGGGTGGTCCGTGAAGTAACACTCCTTTTGGTGGCTGATGTAGTTCTGACCGAACAAACAACTCTGGCGTACGAATAGGCAAAATAACAGTAGCTTTAATGTCATCGATTACATCTTCAAGACCTGCGATGTCATTCCACGTCACGTCAATACTCTGTGGATCAACTAATTGAGCGGCAATTGACAGTTCATACTCATTAAGTTGTGTCTTCAAGTCTTTGACACCCAATCGCGATAATAGCCTTTCGGCCTTTAATTAACAATTGTTAGTCATTTGATCACTATTTTGGCCAAATATAACAAATCAATACAATTGTCTTACCCTTAGTTGTGCCTCACGTTTCTGTTTTCTGGTCGGATCTAATGTATTAACCATCCATTTGACCGCAAAATATGAACAAATACCTAAAATGCCGGCTCTAATGAAAATGGAGATCAACTCAGCCCGAGTTATACTGTTGTCCGACATTTGACATCAATGGTGTCAATGACTGCAAAATTCAATCAAAGACTATTGGATTCAATTAAATGACTTCAATATCTGTCAAAACAATGCATTTCATCGATCAGTCATTCAATGCATAAACATATCAATCATATGGTATTGAAAACATCATTGCATTTGAATGGCATTTAAAGTACAGTACATCTCATGCAATGCAATGATATTATCAATGAATACATCAATAGATGTCTCTCATTAACAATTGTATGACAATATCATTAACTTTATTAACGATAATCTGTTATTCAATTGAATATAGATTTCAAAACCAATTTAACTTAAATTACAAACAACTTATTAATAATACATATATTTATTGTATTTGAAAATTATATCATATTAATTATAATTTCAATAATCTTAATACAATAAAATGTTCTAGATCATATTTATTGTGGTCAGTTATACAAAATAGCCACACTTGAGTATATAATACATTATGATTAAAACTTATCTACAGCTATATAATCAATAATATTTCCAATTGCTATTTATTTAGCCAATAGAGTAGACTGATTTTTAATATAAAAATTATCTAGTTAATTAATATATTAAACATGCTATTGTTTCGTTTTAAATATGTTATATAATTATTATACTAATAGTTTAAAATTTATATTAATTTAGTATATTGTTTAATTTTGAGTAATCAATAAAATTATTTTATTAATTACAGTATATATTGAGATACTTTTTTATAAAAAAAATATATTATAGAGTAATGTATAGATAAATACAATATTTTTATAATTTATCAATAATTTGTTTGGGATCTAATGTCCATTATTTTCAATACCTGTTGTTTTGAACAAATTCTTTAAAGAAGTGCCAAATTTTAAACAAACCAATCAATCGTGTCTTTTCATATGATATCTTGTTTTAAAAATATATAAACAATTACTCATAAATGTTTTAAACAGTCACCAAAGTTTTCAATCAAATTATTGAAAAAGTTATAAAGTATTTTAGTATCCATTATAAACAAATATAACTATTTTGAAAACAATTGTTTGCATGACTTCCCAATTGTCCTAATATTCAAGTCAAATAGTCTCAGCAAATAAATTCCTATAAAATTTAAACGGTTGTCTATTGATAACACTTTTATTAGTGCAAAAATACTGTAATAATTATTGTGAATTAATCTGTTTAAAAAGTAACGGTATTATATTAAACAAACAATATAAAAATATATGCAAAAATAAATAATAATAAATACATTAAAATAAAATAATATACTCTAAATACTTATAAATACTGTATTATAATATTTTGGACAAATTTCATGACTTGAGTAATATATCACAGTATAATTTTGAGATAACAATTATTTTGATAAGTATTTTTGAATCAATGTTTTTAAATTGAGATTTGGTAGAAGTAATTCATTGATCATCACTTCATTAGTCATTGGACTCGTAGAGTTGCCATTGTTTATCCATTGAATAATTGCCTCCTTTTCATAAGTATAGCCATCTAATAATAAAATTAATTTTAATAATGTTTATAATTAAACACTAATACCTCCGGCAACGACAGGCTCTTTCATAATATCATGAGTTATAGGACAACAAAGTTCATTAGGTAGTGCACTGTTATCTTCATTATCATCATTGATGTGTTGCCACAATGGGTTCTTCAGTGCCTGTATTCCTCGCAATATTTTATTTCTATGACCCAATGAATCTGCAATGAAAATAAATTTAGTCACAATTACTAAAATAAATTAAAAATATCTAAAAATTAAATTTAATACCAATTTTAAGTTCTGTTAAAAGGCTATCATTTGTCAAGTGAACCAATTCGATGCCATCAATTGAGTTATCTCTGAAGACTTGACTATGTTTGCCCAAATCAAGTCTTTCTAACCAATTGATCACATCATTGATCTTCCATTCAGAGACTATATTACTTCCCGAAGCAATCATTGCCGATGACTCGTTTGATGAACCGTTTTTCATAAAGACTACATCCCTGTCCTTCATGTTCGACACATTCCAGATAATAACAAATTTATCGTTAGAACCGGTGGCTAAATAATGATTGTCTGAAGAAAATACACAACAAGTAACATATCTGGTATGACCTTCAAGTTTGTGGAGAAGAGTGCCATTTTGTGGGTCCCAAATAATTACCAATTTATCACCAGCACTGATATACAACTAATAAATCAAATATTGTTTATTAACAATCGTTTCAATACATACGCTGAGGCTAAGAGAGATCCGTCAGTTGAGAAACGACAACAATTGACATTTCCATTGTGTCCTTTCAAGGAATGAGACAAAGTTATAGTCGACTTGAGTCCACCCCTTACGTGCCATAGTTTAACCAAATCGTCGTTACCACACGAGGCAAATAAATAAAAACTTTGAAGTGGACCCTCAGATACTAACAATTTATTATACTATTATTGTAATACAGAAGTAATGTATTCATTATAATCCTAATACTTACCATTAACTTCATATTGTGAGCTGAAATCACAGCCTAAAACACCTAAATCGTGAGCCTCTTGAAGAGTAAAAAGACACTTTGCGTGTCCATACTTAGAGTCCCATAGCTTAAGGTCACCGGCCGACGATCCGGACACTAAGTAACAGCTATCGGGACTAAAAGCACACGCAGTTATCATTGCCTCGTGATCTGACAAAGACCTTAACAAAAGAAATAGTTATTTAACAAATGGTTTGCAATACAAACTTTGTATAATAATATACTGTATAATAGTATCACCTGATCATAGATCGGGTACTTATATCCCAAATAACAAGACTCTCGTCGTCTCCACCCGAGGCCAACATTGATGATGAAGGACTGAAACTACAGACTCTGACAGCGCCTCCACTTTCGTGCTTTAATTTGACCACTTGTTCGCCGGTCTATAAAATTCAGTTAATAAGTGTTATCTCAACTCTGATAGTATAGATGTGGTCAAGGATTGGGTCGGTATGTCATACATGAGTGTTCCATAAGATAATGTTGCCATCAGTAGAGCCACTGGCGATGATTGTACTGAATGGAGAAAAACGGACACAATTGACACCATAGTTATGACCCATCAGTGGTGATAGTGATGTTTGTCTGAAAACTCCGCTGTCATCAGCTTCCCAAAGACGTACTGTCTTGTCATTGCTGGCACTGACCAATAGCTTAGTGCCCGTGAAGTCAACCCAATTGACATCACTTGAGTGGCCATCAAGTATTTGGTGAGAGATAGACATCGAGTCGTGGTTTCAATTGGACAACAATTGGACAATAATTTTGCCAAATATTTGTCACAAATGGGTATCACTTGAGTGTAAATGGCTTTAACTTACTATCAGTTTAGTGACAAACACTGCCTTTCATTAAATATATTAAATGTTTTACAAAACATTTAAATTAAACGCAAAATTTTTTTCATTGAATTATAAAAACAGTGTCGACTTGTTATTGATTTTTCACTCACTTTAATAGTATTAATAATTTAATGAAAAATAATATGTTTTATTGAGAGACTGTTTGTGTGCTTATTATATAATATACTATAATGTTATTGTTATACATACTGTAGATTCTAATGATATAATAATAATAATCAATAAAAAGTCTCAATTAATAATAAAATATAATATCATTTGAACTCAATTTGTAAAAACAATTTGAAAGACAACATACTATCATATATTATGATTAAAGATATGTTTCAAACGGTTTGGTTGAGTCTACATAAACTACTTAAAAAAAGTTTTGACAATTTAGGCTTTAAAGTCACAAAATAAACAATTAATAAACTTTAAGAGAAATTATAATTTAAAATTAACTTAAAGTCAAATTTATTGCATATTATTAATTTTATATATTTGGTATTTTAATAATAAAGTAATTTTTATAAATTTAACTAAAGTTTATGCATTATTGTCTATTACAGTATTTTAACTTCAAAATATAAAATAATAATTTTAAATAAACATTTCAATAATATTGACATTAAATAATTTAATTAATATAATATACTAACTTTTGCATAATTTATAGCAATTTATATAAAATATATTATCAAATATAAATTACTTTTTTTATTTGTTTTTAAAGAATGAATAATAACATATATATATATATATTATTATATAATCAATAAAATTAATATAAAAAATTATCATTATATATTAAAAAATATGTTTAATTATGAAATAATTATTAGCACTACAACTATGTAAATCATAAAATTATATTTTACGGTAAATGAATATGAATTAAAATAAAATTGATTATATAATATGTTATATAAAAAATAATTAATTACTTTATGTGTTGTTAATAATGTAAACTTTCATTTGTTGATTATCACTATTAAAGTAATAATAGTTTACTTCAAATATTAAAAGTTATTAATACAACAATTATTGTTTTATGACAACTTTGATACTTTTAAGTTTGTCGAGTATATAATATATGAAGTAATACCAGGGTTAATCGCTAGGCGTATGGTAGGGGGTATGGCCGTTTTACCCCCAGCGACCAAGATTTTGGAGATTTTACCCCCCAGTCTTTTTTGGAAGTTTAAAAAATAGTCGTTTTAAAAACGATGAGAAATTTCGTTCCCCCCTAAAATTTTAATTAATATTTTTTAACTTATTATTTTTATGTTTTTCTAACTTATTTACATCAAATTATTATATAAAATAGTTAAATTTTAGATAAATTTAGTTAATTTAGTTTTAAAAATTCAAATTAATTAAAATATAACATTATTTAAATTAAAATTTTTAAATAAAGTTTTTAAAAATGAACTAAATGTTTAATTTTTTTTATTGTTAAAAAAATATTATTTTTACATAATTAATATAATATTAATAAATTATACTGTAAATATTCATATTTTTAGATAAAAATAAAAGTTTAAAAAATTAATGTTAATTTATTTTTAATCTTAATACAGTATATACAGGAAAATTTAATTGAGTGATAAAAATTAGTTTAAATAGTTAAATTCGGTAATAGAAATTTTATTATTATTTATTTAAAAAGTTAAAAAGGAGTTATTTGATTTTTAAATAATTAATTTTATTTTATTTATAATATGAATTAAAAATAAAAATAAAAATAATCATAATAATAATGAAAATTCTATATTAATTAATATATTTTTTAATAATTTTTATTTTTTTAAAAAGTAAATTTAAATAAATTTATTGGGAATATTTTCCTATTTTCCTAGGAATTTTTGGAACTTTGGGATTTTTAAAGGAATTTTCTCATGACCCACTTGATTTTAAAATTTTGAAAAAATTGCAGTTTAAAAATGCAATAAAAGTCGACATCACACAAACAGTACCCCTTTAAACAAAAAATATTTGCTTAACCCTGAAGTAATTAAATTATTTATTAAAATAAAATAATTAAAATGTAAAGTATAAAACAGATAATTTTTAAAAAATTGTATATATAATTATTATTAAAGTAATTGTGTTAACAATACTATATTTATACGTTAAGTATTTATATTTTAAGTATTTTTAAAAAGTTTGCATAATATACTTATTAACAAAAATTTATGCTAAACATTCAAATTGATTTCAATATTTGAAAATTGCTATAATATATACTAATTATTTAGAAAACTTCAAAACAGTATTACTTTAACTGTAAAATTTAATATTTAATTTATTAAACAAAACAAATTGATTGAAAACATGTGATATCTCACATCGAGTTTATTATAAAATCAATAGATATTTGTTAATTAAAGTTTTATTTCTATTATTTTATTATAGATTTCAATTCATTTGTATTTTACTTTATTAATAGATTCAATTTCACAATTTAGTTCACACTAATAAAAAAAATACAGATATTGTACTAATATTGCAAAATAACAACAAGACATGCAATTCAATAGTAAAAATATTATCTATAAATTTAAAAAAACCTTTTCATATATAGATAAATCGATACTTATTTATTCATTAATTTATTTTTAGATTCAATAGTACTGTAATTAAAAAATCGTTTATTCAATAAACAGATAAAAACTAAGTAATTAACTCTATTATACATTATATTACTCTCAATGTAATACAAATATTGTTTAAAATTATTATAAAAATTAAAAATATTATTAGTATTATTTTTTTTAAAAAATCTTATAATAATTGAACATTGATTTAAATATTGTTTGAAATCCATTGTAAATAATGTGAAACCCGTGCGTAAACACCAGGAAAGCCAGGAGTAGCACATCTATTGATATAACAATTAGTGTAAAAACATATAAAATATAAATAAAGAGTTATAAAAACATTCTGCAAGACATACCTTCTTCCAAATGAGACAATTCCTGTCAAATAAAATCGTTTATTGTTTGGATCGATTTGCATGAGAGGTCCCCCTGAGTCCCCCTGACAACTATCTTTAGTGGAGCCAACAGTTCCGGCACACATATACTCGTCACTAATTTTGATCACTTTATCAAAAGCTTTACCACAATCTTGATTTGAGACGACTTGTATGGAAGCTTCTCTCAATTTATCACTTGAGTTGCCATTAAACTCGACTTTTCCCCAACCAATGATGAAACCACTTCTTCCAATATTATCTTCAGAATTCAGGATTTGTGTGTCATATGGCAGACATATTGGATAAACACGTCGGTTAAGATTAACCTTTAAATTGATAGATAAGGTATTTATTATAAAAAATTAAAAATATATAGTTTGACAAAATCGGTACCTTTTGATTTAACTTAATGATCGCCACATCGTTTTTAAAAGTTTGCGGTTCAAAGTTTGGATGAGCCGTAACTTTCATGACATTGTAGTCAACTTCTGCGTCCTCCTCAGTTTGTTTAGCAATATTATGTTCACCCAAACGTACCCGAAATCTATTGGCATCCATAACCCGACCACCCTCTACAACACAATGTGAAGCAGTTAAGACCTCCTGTTGTGAAATAAGAGCCCCACCACATTGGGCACTGAAAATACCAGAATCTTCTACAAAAATTGCTGCCTTTCATAAATTTATAATAAATATGAATAATAAGCTTTAAAATAAGCGATATTTATAATATACAATCCATGGCCACGATCCGGGTCGAGACACTTTACCACCAACTATACGTGTTGTCCCACTCGTTATACTTCTATTTCCACAAACTATAGATATATTTTAGTAGATTATAAACTTAAAAGACACTTACATTTAGGTAACTTTTTAGGTTTTAATGGGTTAATCGCTTCGTCTGATTGTAGGCTATCTTCAAGTGATGGTGTCATTAATTTTTTAGTTGTTTTAAATGGTTTAGGTTTTATTGTTGTGGATCTGGTAGTAAATCTGGTTGTACTTTGAATACTTTGTTTATTATTATCTAAAGGACAGCAAACTTTTGGTATTTCATTATCATAACCACACAGAGATTGTCGTAAAACTCGTAAATTTTTTTCATTTAACATATTATCGCAACGAACCAATGGCTCACAAATACCAGACTTTCCGTTATATGCCAAACAAGACTCGTCTTCATTATCAGGAAAAACAACTAAAAATTCATTTTTAAGCAATTTATTTAAAATTAATTAAAAACATTAATTAACTAACTTTGTCTTTTAAAATGTTTGCATTCAATAGAAGTCATATAAATAACAATAATTAAGACAATAATTTGCATTTTAAATTAATAATACTATAGATAGATGTTATTAAACTAATTTAAAAATACCCAATACATTAAATTCACAATAAATATATTAAAAATAACAAATCCTTACAAAATGCCTTTTAGTAAAATACTTATAGATATTTCAACGAAAATAATATATTTTATGTTTTTTATAATATTTGGTAAATTTTTCACATGTTTTAAGAATTTCAATAATTATCTCTTTTCTAAAAAACATAGCAAAGCATAGCATTAGAAAAGGATGTGATGTTAAGTGCTATAAATGTTACCATCAATTACTGATGACCTTCTCGTCAATTGTTTAAGTAATTGCTTTATTGATATTTTGTTTACATATGATATGAGTCACATTATTCACATTAATTTTCAATTAAAACAAATTTAAATTACAAAAATAAATGAAATATCACTGAAATATTAGATTTATTAAATAGTTATGATTTACTGTAGAAATACCATAGTTTAACCCATATTTTTCCGATTTCCTTCTCCTCGTTTGTGAACTAAATTACAAATAATAATAATAATAATAAATAAAAATAATAAAAAATGTAAATCATTGATAAATACCGTCTTTCCAATCATCCATATCTCTGGCTCTCCTAATATTGTTAGTGTCGTCGACTTCAATCAGTTTCTCTTTTCTTTCCTCTTCTGTCTCGTCTTCAGCCAATTTTTTCTCCGGATTCTCCGCCCAATTCAGAAGACTATTATTATATCTATTATTACAAACAAAATGTCATAAATTATAGTAAATTGTAAACAATATATTTGTATCTAAACATACACTGGATTTTTATCATTGATTTCAAGACTTCCTTCTTTAATTTTTTCGGTAATAAAGTCATCGACACTAACAGTAGGTATACTCGGATATCCTAAGCCATAGACCTTCTTTTGAAATTCATTTCTAGTTATTATAATTGGTTTTAATTTAGTCTCAGATTTGTTAGTATTTGCTTTGCGAGCATTCAGTTTATCTTCACTGTCCGTTGACTTCATTTTCTTCAAATGTTCAACAATTGGTTTTTCGGTCTCAATATTATAAAGTTCTTCAAATGATTTATTAATCCAACGCTTTATTAAAACTAAGTAATACTCTCTAAGAATCTCGTCGTCAACGTTATCGTCATCTGTTTGTGATATCCTTTGTCTCATTTCATTCAATTTATTATCCATTTCTTTATTTGCATTAAATCTTTTAATCTTTGCATTTCTATTACGAACGGCTGAATCAAGTGATGCCATCACTGAAGAAGTCGATGCTTTCTCATCTTTATTATCATCGCTGACAATGTCATTGTGTTTGACCTCAATGTTACAGATTTGATAGTCATTAAGACGTTGAATGAAATCCTTATAATAAGTTTCAGCAGTGTTTAAGATCTCGTGTCTGTCAAACTTGATTGTCATAAGTGTCAGATCAGCTAAAAGTGCCGGCAGTAACAGGTATTTAACATTTTTGGTGGCAATCTCTTCAACTGATTCATTAGTACTAAACAAAGACAACTGATTGACCAGTCGTGTGGCCTCTTCTAGTGATTTGATGCCTTCATATACTTTCTCCTTAAGAAAAATTATCATTTAATATAACTATAGTTATCAGCTATCAGTTAATCAATCAAATGAGTTAACAATACTTGAAATTTGTGGTCATTAGTGGCCAGAGAAGAGTCCTTAATATGTCGGCTAATGTCAAATCCTTTGTCAAAAAGTTGGGATAATCTGACGTAAGTCTCATCCATTGTGATGACTATTGGATCAGTTAAGTGATTGTAAATAATGTGACAAATATTGATTCATTCAATACATATAAAGCCCTCTAATTTCAAACATAAGTACTATTTATATTCACAGCATGTACTGTATAATGCAATGCATTACTCTATTAAATATAAATATTAAACACAAAATCATTTACAAACAAACAAAAAATTAATACATTTTATTATACGATTGTTTCATCACATGTATAATAAATAGTATAAAAGCAATCGTATAATAAAATGTATTAATTTTTTGTTTGTTTGTAAATGATTTTGTGCTTATATTAATACAGTAGTAAAGTTAGATATAAATAAAACATTTGCTTAAAAATTTTTAAAAAATGATTACTTTAAGGAATTGTTTTTTGTAATTAATTAAAAATTGGTATTTATAATAATTTTTGTATGCATTGAATAAAAATACAATTTTATCTCTTAAATTAATAATAATAATAATCCTTTTAATTATTATTTTTTAGTTGTTTAAAGAGTAAAAACCAATCTAAAATCGCAACCAAACCGGTACTAAAACACTATAACCGAAACCGTTTCGGTTGTGACCTCTAATATAAATATATAATTACTAAATTGATATCTTTATACAGTATTATAAAACCTTTTATACATTACTTAATAAACATATAATTTTATGAAATAATTTAATTTAATTGAATTTATTATGTTATGAATCTCCAAGTTTTTGCTATAAATAACTGTATGATATTACGGTAATTATAATATACAGTAATTTACAACAATTTTTATTTTTTAAATATAACTAATAATTTGTTAGTCATTAAAAACAGCACAAGTGAAATCATACAGTATTAATAAAAATATAAAATATTAATATTAAATTTTATTTTAAATTAATTATCGTAATTTAACAAATTTACACTAAGAAAACTTGTTTAAAAATAACATCATTTGTAAATATTAATTTAAACCAATTTAAAAATTTATATAAAGCCGAAATTATTATAAATAAAAAAAAATTAGGAAATTCGTTAAAATATATTTGATTTCAATAACACTACAAATACTTAAACAATATTATTTCAAATAATTATTTTAAAAAATGTTTTACCAATACATAAATCATTAATTTCAATAGTAATTGATTAAAATCTTGATTATAAAATCGCAAGATATTATTGATGACTTTAATTATGTGCTTATAATTACAAACCAAATTAAAATCTAAATAATTAATTTTCACTTACAAATAAATTTAATTATAACACAATTAGTCAATAAAAAGCCACAAATTATAAATAAAAACTATCGCAAAATAAACTTCAATTAGTTAAATATTTGTGGCCCCAAACAAATCACTTATTTGTTATTATAACACATCTAATTGTTAAAATATACTTTTAAAAAAATAATAGTTATAATCATAAACAATAATATAAATGATAAATATAATAATTGAGCAGTTAATGTCATCAATTAAGGATCTGAGTAAAAGCAATACATGATCGATAAGCCCAGACATGAAATATTTAAAATTCAATATATGGTACAATTGAAACAGTCATTACTTTTTAAGTCATAATTTGATAAATTGTTTAAAATTCTTTCAAAAAAGGGGACTATATATGTAGATTTGAGCTATATTTTTGATTGAAATAAATGGGAGAAAATGGTCACGAATTGAGCCCAAAGTCCTTCATGTGTTCCTCAATATCAACCCGACATATGGGACATCTTTTATTTGTAGTCAGCCATTGATCCACACACTCGATGTGGAACAGATGCATACATGGAAGTCGTCTAATAATACAAATTTAATTGATTAACAAATTTTCAATTACCGGTTATTATAAATATTAATGTTTTGTATCAAACCTAACGTCTTCGTTGTCTTCAAATTCACTCAAACAAATGGTACACTTTTCAATGCAGTCATCTTCAGGAGTGCTTAACTTAATTCGTTTATATTTATGTGGAAAAGTATTTCTCTCAATAATGGTTTGTGAAGCGCCTCTATTGATAGTCTGTCGGCTTTGTATTATACGCCAGTAATCTTCTAAGCGAGCGGTCATATGTCGCGATAATAGCGGTCCAATATAATGATAACTTTGACTGAATGTATTAAAATCGGCCAAAGGAGGCGGCAGAGGTGCATATACATCACCAGTACGGGGTGGTCCGTATGGCTAATAATAAAATTATTATTAATTCCACAAAACATTAATTAACTTCAATACATATACATATACATACAGGTGCAACAATTCCAGCGGGAGATATTGATATATGAAAACCCGGAGGAGAAACTCCAAAATGAAGTCTTGGCGCGTGACTTGTTGGGTGGTAATGATGTTGATGGACGTGATGGTGTAGATGGGAATGTGATGCATCAGGAGTTGAATGAATTATAACTTCGCTTTGAAAAGCCACGTTAGGATCAACAAGAACTTCAGCCGATACGTGGTGTCCACTAGAAGGTATACTTCCACTTGTTTGTGGATTAGGTGCATACATGCTAGACATACCAACCAAACGTTGTGGGTTTGGATTTTGAGGTGGAGGTGATTGTTGTAATCTACTACACGAACCATTGGCCGATAAATGACAGGACGTGTCATTAGCCATATTGGAAGGAGTGGATGACTGTGGAATGTTAGCATTGAGCGCACCCACACTCATGTTTGCATTGGAATTGTGGTTATGGTGTGGCGTCAAGTTTAGTGGCATTGCATCCGATGTACAAACAAAAATACCCGAAGTTGCCGACGGAGTAGGTGGTGGAGGTGGTGGTTGACCTACGGGAACAAATGGGGCCATTGGCACATGCGATGACTCCATTAAATGTCTTTGATAAGCTTCTTGTTGTCTATAATCAAATTATCAATTAATTAATTGATTAATTATAGCAATTGATACAAACCTAACAAACATCTGGTGCTGATATAGACTCTGTCTTTGCCTTTGCATTTCATTCATCCGTTGCTGTGCTATCCATAGTCTCTGTTGGTTGGGATGGAGTCGCGAATGAGGATGTATTGAGTACGGATGCAAAGGCAGGTGTGCTGGCGGTGGACTAAAGTATTGGCCATATTGTGACACATTTGACCCATTCTGAGGTATATTAGGTGTCATCGATGGTATGGAAGGTATTGAAGGCATTGATGGTATGTTTGGTATATAAGTCAAATGTGTATTATTGATAGGACTAGTGGTGGCCGAATAAAAGCCGTGATTATGTGGACACTGAATACCTGACGCCATTGAAGTTAAACTGTTATTACCATTCATTGAATTGTTACCAATATTGCAATTAAATGACGAGTAGTCCATACTATTAGATAATGTATCCGAAGAGCCACTGTTTTGACCAAATACTTGTCCCGAAGTGTTGCTTGAATTCATATTTACATTATTTGAATTATTATTATTTTGGTTATGAAATCTACAGCTCTGGTATTCAGGCATTAATTGTTGATAATTTGAATTTACATTAAATAAATTGGAACTAATGTTGTGTTGTTGTTGTTGTCCATTATTGGTCATCATTGCGGGCGCTAATTGAATACATGAGCCTCGAGACTGATTCAGGTCATTGTGTTCTCGGGTCAGTCTATGATCGGTCACACGTTTGTCAGCGACGGTCTGAGTTGTCATTGAAGTGTTTTGTGTGAACTTCAATGGCTTGTTATTGGTTTCGACGGGTGATTCGTCATCCGATTGCGTCAAATCAACTAATATAGTGCTCGAAGAAGTCAACGATTGTCCACTTTTGGTGGTATTCAGTGATGCATTCAAGTCATGTGATGGACCAGCTTTGGGCTCATGAATGGTGCCATTGATTGCACTGACAGATTGACCACACTTTGCTTTAACACTGGTATTGACCACAACCTCAACACTACTTGAGTCTGAATCAGAATCGCTGGACAAACAGTCTAACTGAAGATCTGGTGCTTCCGGCCATTGATTGGCCGCTGAATCGCATACACTGTGAATACCACTCATGATTGACAATCAATTCATCACTACTTGAAAAACATGCCATTCATTACCATTGTTTATGTCATCACTGGTTGGGATCAACTGTTGAGACTATAACTAAATATAATCAATGGTTTAGTTGTGTTTAAAATCAAAAGACAAACACAACAATCAATACATTGATTACAATAACAATCAATACATTGATTACAACAACAATAACATCAAAACAGTGTTGGACTCCATATTTGAGACAATCATTGACGACATTCACACACAATATATAATATATAATAGCATTGAATGCGATGTTATTATAGATTCGACATTTGATAAGACATTACAGTAATAACACTAAACATTCATACAATACATGCATTCAATTGCATTGCATTCTACACACTGTCTGAACAAATATTACGTTATTATTGAACACAACTTAAAACATGTAATACTGTATCATATGATTGATATAAACATTAATATTATTAATAAATATCTATTAATTATTAGACTTATAGTTAAGTATTTATAAAATATTATTATTATTATTAATATTCAATTGAATGTCATTTGATTATCTGATTGATGATGAAGTGGACCAATGTTTTGGTGACAGTTGGCAGCACTCGCTTTGATAAACTGATTGCTGTTATGACTAACAATCAATCTCTTGAAGTATAGATTTGTCGATAAAATAAGTTATTGATTATAACGATATGTTTTTAAGGTATTGTCATCAATGGGTTGCAATAATCTTAACATACAATATGGTTCATCTGATTGTCCATCAGTTATTGGCACCAAATTTAAGATAAATATCACAACATTTGACTACAAGAATAATATTGACGAAGATATTAGAAGAGCTGATGTAGTGGTCGGACACGCGGGTAATAAACAATTAAATTAATTACTCAATTATTTCTTAATTTTTCAACTATTATTTAGGCGCCGGAACCGCTTTGGAAGTGCTTCGACAGCACAAACCGTTACTTATGGTTATAAACGATGAACTGATGTCAAACCATCAGAAAGAATTGGCCAACACTTTGCAATCTGAAGAATATCTTTGCTATTGCTATACAAACACTTTAATAAATAGTTTGAAGTATTTTAATGGCAAACAATTGAAATCATTTCCAGAAGCAAATCCACAATTGTTTGCCAATTATGTCGACAATATCTTCTTCGACAATAAAGACTGTGATAAATACCATTAAACATACAATAGTTTTTAATTTTTTTAATTTAATTTATTTAAAACAATAAGTCATAATACAAAACCTTAAAATGAATAATTGATATTTAAGTTAAAAATATGTTAAAAAGCATTTTCATGTATGTCTTTGGCACTGATTATATAGTTTTATAATACAATTTTTAAATATTTACATTTTTATATATTAATATAGTATAACAATAATAGTAAATAACAATATTTTATACAATTTAAAGATCTTATTTTGATTACAATTATCTTTAAAATTCAAAATTTATTATAAATATTTTCAATTGTCACAAAAAATTATTTCAATATATTGTATTAATAATTAAAACCCGATTTTAACAAAACTTAACAGATATGTTAACAGATGAAAGTAAACTCAAAATTTTAGGAATGTTTACGATTAGTAAATATTTATGAATATTTTTAAATATAAATTTAATAATTTTAGAAGATTTTTTTATAACAAATAATTCATAAAATTTAAAAATAAAAACTTAAAATTATAGTTAAAATATATTACCGTTAATTATCTTTTTTACAATATTAGTTAATAAGGAAATGTCAATTAGGATAATGTTATGGTTGTGATGATTATGTTGTGATAATTATTAGTATGATCTCAATAATGGTTATTAAATGTATTTAAAAAAACTGTTACAGTCTTTCAGTTGTTGACATTTAAAATAATTATAAACAATAATAATAAAGAAAAGATTCAAAAGTTTTATTAAAATAATATATAAAATTCATGAAATAAAATTAAAGAAAATTAAATTTCGTTGGAAATGAGACCTTAGGTTTGATATTTTTTGCATTTTATAATAACTTTTATGAAAATGAAAAACTAATTGCAAATAAAATGTTTTTTTTTAACATATAAAGTGTAGAAAAACAACGATTAAATATCTAAATAAATAGCAATTTAAATTTATGCACAACTGTGTGTTCACTCTTTTGTTATTTATAATATTATATAATATTATTATTATCACTCTTTCTCTATTACTATTACTAATTTTAAATTACAATTAAATTACTGTTAAATCTCTATTACAATATCATACTATACTCTATAGCATAGTCTATACCAATAATTATTGTTTAAAAACATAATTAATAATAAATTTAAAAATTGTAGATTTTATAATATAATATTAGCTTGATAATTAAGATTTAATTAAAATTTAAATTGAGCTCATTTATTGTAAATTCAATGTAAACAAATATATCTCGAAATTAATTTAAATGTCTGATAATGTTAATCTTATTTAATAATACGATTTAATAACACTAAAACAATTGTGCATAACATGATAACTTAGCCATTTTAAACTTTTTAAAAATTATATATTAAATAAAAATAATGTAAAAATAACTAAAATTTTGCAAAAATAGTTTTTCGCTTAAAATATATTACATGAGATAAACTGAAATAACAAAAAATAGACGACTTTTGCTGATATTTTAAATGAAACAAAACTTTATATAAATGAATGTTAAGCTAATCGTAATAAATAACAATATATATATAACAATATATATTTTATATAAAAAGCATATAAGGCATACAATATTTGATATATTAAAAGGATTATCAATTTAATAATTGATACGACAATTAATTTTTCAAAAAGAAAAATGTTCTCGCTTATTTTCAATAAATATCTCTAAAATACAAATATTTATAGCTAATATATACAAATATTTATAGCTAATATATTATAATTTTTTTTAAATATTTTACAATACAAATAAATATGTTTTAAGTTAATTAAATCGATAGTAACAACTTTTTGCAGATTTGGCACTGATTTATGATTTTATGTTAAAAATTAAGCAAAAATTTAATTTTTCATAAATATTAATATTAAATAATGAGATTTGTTTTTAACTAGAAAAATGAATTTAGTATAAAGTGGTATTAAGTATTAAAATGTTATAATCATTTGATGTCACAATTTTTTGTCGATCAATAAGCAAAACTTATTTACAATCCGCAAATAAATAAGTAAATAATAGACAAATAAAATGATTGGCCTATAAATCCATTAAAAATAAAAATAGGATTTCTATGGGCACTGAAAATCATTAATTTGATAAAACTGTGTAATTGTATTAACAATTCTGTTGACTAATACTATGAAACAATCGTTGGCTAAGAAGTAGAGTTCTCGATGTCATCGATTTCTTCGAGTGATTGCTGTCGGCAACATCTGAAACAATTTTATTGATAAAAAGTGTTTCAATATATAAATGTTACCTTTGAATGAAAGAGAGAGCTGATTGGGTTTTGGGTGTTGGTGTGGCCGCCATTAACATTGGCATCTGATTCTTGTGACTTATATGAATCTGTGTCCACAATTTGCCAAATATTATGAACATCTATTTATATCAATAGTTTATACATACAGTACATGGAGGTTGAATCCATGGTTCGCCATCGATTTGCATCGGAAATCGTTTTCTAGTCCTTTAAGCAATATTTCATAAATTGAATGAATATATTGAAAAATAGTTATACAAAGAAACAATTGATTATTAGGTTTGCTATAAATAATATATTTCAAAACAAAACATAAAACTACTCAATAATAAACAATTTTTTAATAGTTTTTAAAATTAATATGAAATAACAATAAAAAACCAAATCTAATTAAAAATAGATTTATAATCTACTAAAACATTTTAATTAGATTAACTACTAAATGGTATAAATACACACCTAATGACAACACTACTACATTGGGCCAGTCGTCTACCCGAAGCTCTGAGTCCGGCCTTGACCTGTCCGACATGCATACAGTTCTCGACACCAATTACTTCAATAAAGTTGTCGCCAATGTCCTGGACAGCCGTTGTTAAGTCAATACTGGACAGACTATTACTTAGGTGTTCCCTATCGCGTCGATATCTCTTTCTCTTTAATAATTTGCTTCTATTCTTTTGACTTGAATTTTCTCCCCATAAGTTGGAACCGCCATATATTGATGGTATGTTCAATACAGCAATACCTTGAAGTGATGGCCCATTCCTTAAATCAAGTTGTGAACCATCGCACTGTAAAAATATCAAATAGTCATATATTTAGTGTGTTGGCAAAAAAAAGAAAAATTTTTCAAAATGATAAAGAAATTTCTAGAAAGTTTATAAAAGAAATTTCTGTCATTTCTGTCTATGGGATCTCAAAGTTAATTTTGTTCTCTCGATATTAGTTATCTTGTATTAATCATACAATATTTAATAATAATACATTTTGATTACAAGTAATAGTTAAATATTATTATTAGTATTTTAATTAATAATTAAAGTAAAAAATTACTTTTTTATTATATTAAACTAAAAATATAATAAAATTTTACAAAACTATAATTTTATATATAGGGATCCAATTTATATGTATTGTCTCATTAATATATTTAATAGTATTACAATAGTTATAAATGAGGGAATAAAAATATAGTATAATAATAAAGTAAAATTTCTATAGAAATTTATTCTTAAGAAATTTACTAGAAATTTTCTCATGGGAATTTATTAGAAATTTTTATTTGCCAATCTCTAGATATATTTAACAAATATATCAATTTTACTGTTATAATACTAAACCAAAAGTCATAACCATTACTAACCAATATATCAATGTCTTCGTGTAAGTTCTTGCAAGTGGCGAAAAATGTCTCACTTGTGGCGAATTCAAAGTACCACATCTTGTTCTTCATTCTACTGCTAAACTTCTCCGGATGTTTCTCTCTTTCCGTATGAAACTTGATTGCTATCGACGCGTCCTTTCAATTATACAATATTTATAGTTATTATAGAAAAATTAAATTATCATTTAAGTTATTTTAATTAAAGAGAGAGAGAGAGAGAGAGAGAGAGAAAGAGAGAGAGAGAGAGAGCAAAAATAAGTGTTTGTGAAAAAAAAGTAACAAATGATAAAAATAAATACTAACGACTCCAATACTAAAATAGTTGTTAAAGATATTGCTGGGAATGGGATCTCCTTTTTCTTTGACACTATCAGAAGAGCTGATTTCAATTTTCCATCGATCCATCAAAACAATTGTGGAATTTTCTACTTTTTTCAATATTTTATTTAGGCTTTCGTTGTCATATCCCGGTCCCCAACGCAGACAACGGGCTAAATCGTTACCGGTTCCCAACGGAAGGATAGCAATTGGAGGCAGTTTTGTAAAATTCATTTTGTCTACAGAAAAGATATTAATTTATCATTTGATTTATATATGGTTGTCAAGTGTCACTGTTATTAATTTGTAATGTTATATATAAACAGCATATCTATATATAGATAAAGATTTGTCGTGTAATATAACTAACCGATTGTATCGAGAATCCAGCCAACGGTGCCGTCGCCACCACAACATAGCACACGAAGATTAGGCGCATCCTTATAAAAGTTAAGTCCCTGATTCGGACCGCCTTTCGTTATATTGTAGACCTGTTTTGGATTTAGTAAATATTGGAATTTTCGCAGAATTCTGTCAAAATAACAACAATATTACCAAAGAATATTCAATTACTATAATATGATATCACATATGAAATGCTATTTGAGAACAAATTTAGAGTCAAATAACATTGCAATAAATCGATGTAATAACTAAAATCTCGACAACTAATACATACCTTAAGCCCTGACGGCCACCACTTTTTGGATTAATCAACACAAGTAATGGGTGTTGATTTGGAAATGGAGTTATTTGAAATGACATGGGACTCACCTATCATTTTATTATAATTTATACATTACTATCATATCTAACAACATTTGACCAAACAATACAAACCCCTTGTTGTTGAGTATTATCATTAGTCAACATATTTGAGTCACTTCTGGTCAATGCTTTTTTCTGTCCCCTATCACTGGTCACACTCCTCTGTCTTTCCTATTAAACAAATTTGTATTATATAATCATTTTTAATAAATAAAAAGTCATAATATTAATGTCCTGTCAAATATTTAGTTTTAAAAGCAATGAAAAAATGTTTATATAAAATATTAGATAAAAATGTTTCACTTTTATAACTATTTTGTCATGTAATTTGATGGATCGATTGAACTGATTGTCACATTTTTATAGATAACTATTTTTGTTATACACTATATTTTATGTGCAAATATTTAACAAAACCCTGTTTTTAAATTAAATTTTTCCGTTTCTCAGTCGCTCTCAAAAGAATTTATTATATTATATATACAGTACATACAGTATATATATGGTATTAAAATATATTTAAAAAAGCAATTATTTTATTGATTAAAACTAAAATTGAATAAATGTGTCTGAAAAAATATATCTTCAATATTTATATATTTCTTACGCTAGAATTGGCAAAATAAGTGATAAAATGTTTAAAAATTATACCATTGTTTGCATTAAATCAGTTAGCATTTATAGAAAAATAGGATGTAATGGGATGTCAGGGATGACATATATCTCAGTTGCCATAGAAATGTCATCATAAAGTATAGCAAATAAAGTAAAAATATACCTAATTTATTTATCTATTTATATTACTTAGCTTTTTTATAAAACTTATAATAAAATAAATCACATTTTGTCAAACAAATTAATTAAAAGATAATAAAATAATTATCATTGAAAACTATATAAATATTATTTAATTTTAGTTAAGTGATATCAACGAGATATCTACTATTTTTCAATTTAAGTAAACATAAACTCAAATAATATAAAGATTATAAGGCTATAAATCAAACACGAATTATTAATGTTTAACATTTATGTGAAAAACAAATTTTTAAAATCTATGATTTTTATCTAAAATTTACAATTTAATTATATTAAAACTAAACACCAAATATTGAATTGTTAACTTAAATTAACACTTTAATAACTATTATAAATATAATTAAAATATTTCATATTTCTCTTATAATTGTAATTAAATGTAAACTTATTTAGATAATTAATTGAATTTGTATAATTAAATTTGTAAATTAGTATAATATATATTAATGTCTTTTTAAAAATTATTGTATCAAATATTATTTACACAAAAATATTTGTTAAAAAATTGAATACAACTATTATTGCTCTTAAATGGTTAAAAATATTAATATTTAAATTCTGTGAAAAATAATATTTAAAAAAATCTGAGTCTTAGACTCGTACTCTTGAACTGACAGCCCCTCCAAATGATAAGTCGATCCTCTACTCCATAAACTACTAAACTTTTCTTAATTATATTTTACAGTTGTATTTATCACAAAATACTAATGTAATTTATATTTAATAATTATAATAATTATAAATATCATACGTCAGTGACATTTATATATAATTTATATATTAAAAACTTACATCATTACCAAAAAATATTAAATATAAGAAAGATATAAAATTAAATGACTATTTCAAAAGTAATAAGTAATGAATATTACATTATATAATTCAATGTAAAATATCAATAATACATATTTGCAATAAAAATCATTAAACATTAATAAAACTAATATAATTGAGAAAAATAAAATATATGATAAGTGATTGCCATTCAAACCTTCAAATTAGTCAAAATTTGAGATCTTTGTCGAGAAAATTTCAATTATAAATTAACTTCAAGTTTCTGGAGTTAAGGTCTCATAAATTAATTTTTTATTTCAATATAATTTTTATTAAATTTTTTATATAATAAATTGAGTTTTTTCTAAATCTGGATATTTATATTACATAATTATATTTATGATACATTTTTCTCAATAATTGCACATAAAATTGACATTTTATAATATATTAAAGTTGTTAAAGATACTAAATAAATTTTAATAATTTAAAACAATTTATTTTTAAACAAATGTAAACTTAATTAATATTTTGCATTAGTATATAATTAAAAATTTAATGATAATATCATTATAAATTACAAACATTAATTACAGAGATAATAGATTATAATTTATAGTTTAATCTATAATAAACAAAACAAATTATAAAAATATCTTGGTAATAAGTATCTACAATCAAGTTTTAATTAAATATACTAAAACATCTTTAATAAATTAAATGATTCAAAATTAATTATAAAAAAATATTTGTATTATCCAAAAAATATAATTTTTAAATAAATTTTAATGCATGAAAAATAACAAAATGGATGATGTTCAATTTATGAATACATTAATTATAAAAAACATGATAAATAAAATGTATGAATGCAAACATATATAATATGATTGATTGCGTAATCAAAACATCGATTTCCATGTGGATTATGTCTACAATAATATTTGACATATAATATCAATAGTGATTATATTTATGACTAACATTACTATAAGCAATAAATTATACCTATTTTTGGTTTTATTTTAGTGATATTAATAAAACAAGCTTGATACTAATTATTCAATATTTCTGTATAATTTATTACAACATAACCACAACATTAAAACATTATACTGTAAATTAAAAAGTTTAAAATACTTAAAATTAACAAAATATTCACTAAATCAATATTAATATTGTATAACGAGTCTCTATTAATCAGCTATAATTTTTATTAAGTTAAAAATAGCTATATATTTGGCAGTTATTATCAATAAAATTAATAAATATAATGGTGTCGATTTAAAGTCTAATGCAATTATATATAATCATATAATAACACAATAGTGTTGTTATCGATCAGTCAAAGCAAATATATCACAATTATTGGTCAATTCAACAACTTTTATGATACCGATAAACATAACATTTATGAATGAATTTAGTAAAACATTAGAAAAATCATATTCAATATATAATACTATTTATCATTATAATTATATATAAAGTATTATACCGTAGTTTAACTTAAATCAATATCTAATAGTAAAGTATATAAACAAACTAATAATTAATATATTGAAATTATTAATAATTAAATATTTTTATACATATTGCATTTTAATGCACTTTAATTTAATGCATCAACTAAAATATAATTAAATAATAAAATAAATAATAAAATAAATAATACAATAATTAAACAAATCAATCGAAAATAAAAAAAAACAAATAAGCATTGATTGCAACCAATGTTTAAATCTGATTAAAGTAATGAAATAATAAGATAATTTTAAAACTATGTTTCTTTGAATTAATAATTGAAAGTTGCAGTAAATTCAATAAAAATTTAAATCAACAAATGCTGTATTTGCATTTATAAGTTTATAATATGATACCGTATAAACTGATATTTGTTAAATATGCATAATTTTATAATTTTGAATAAACACACTAAGACTGTAAATATTTATTAGTGATTATCAAACAACTATAATAATTATAAGTAAGTATTAAATTAGAAATAAAATAATTAATAAATTCATTGCATAATACACGTTGAAAACACTATCATGTAATCTGATTATTAAAAATAACATTAATATTTAAAGAATTGACATTTGAGAAATTCATTCAATTTTTATTTAATTTATAAATCTTTATGAATTCATATTATTTTATTATTATAATAATGTTTAATTTTTATAATTTAATATTTAGTAAATATAAATTAATACTCTCATATAGTAATCATAAGATTCAGTATTATTCTAAGTACTGGTGGAATAATATTAAACATAATTACAGATTTTAATAAGTGTAACAAAAAAAATACAAAACAAATAATATTAAATTTAAATGCAATGATGTTTGAGGACTAAATACAAATGAATTAATTGCTATGTATTTTGAGATTTCCCCGTAGAGTATAATATTACTCAATGTAGTATTTATGTACAGTACATATTATAATGTTAAAACTGTTTTATTATATAACCCAAAATTGCTTTGGGATTATTAAAAAAATAATTATTTTTATGAAACTAAAATATTTCATGAAAAAATTAAATTAAAAATATTATGAAAATTATGATTAATATATAAGAATTATAAATATTGATAAAACTCTTAAGTATTATTATGAGTGCCATTTGTGTGATTAAATGGGAAGGAAATATAACATTAGAAATATTACTAAAGTTATTATAAATAGTTTGACCGCAATATGCATTGCCAACCATTGGTAAACCATAAACGAATTGAGCCTTACATGTAATGCCAGTGCAAACACAACTAACCCAATACCATACCAATCATACTAACCCATGACATTTAAACATACATTCAATACTTATATAGAAAAAACAAAACGATAAAATCATATGAGAAATGAAAAAATGACAAATTTTGTGTTTGTTATATGTATTGATTTGAATTGTAGTTTGTATTGTAATGTTCATCGACTATATCGATATTAAGGTGTTTATCGTCAATACAATATATAATATAAAAATACGTTAATTGATAACACATGAACTTAACAATACATCGATAGCTAAACAATGTAATTCTCATAAATAAATTTTATAAGGTTTGCAACAAAAAAGTACAATTGTGTTACATCTGAAACATTTGTACACAATTTCTTAAGAATAATAATAATAAACAGCTATTCTATGATTTATTAAATTACATTATTTTATGTAATAATTAATTTATAAAATACTTAAACAATGCATCAACAAAACAAATTTATTATTAAAACCAGTTAAGAATGCTAGAAAGCATTTTCAGAAAAAAACTTGAATATCATAAATAGGTTGAAACCCATTAGTTAGCGGCTATATAGTAACATTTAAAAACTGGTCAAATATATATAATTTAAATATTGTCATATAGGGTATAAAATAACTCGGTATGACAAAATATACTCAACTATAGTCATGTAGGGTATAAAATGACAAAATATACTCAACTATAGTCATGTAGGGTATAAAATGACTCAGTATGACAAAATAAACTATTATGATCATACTTTTGCCGCTATTTTTAAAAAAATAAAATAATGCTGATATATTATATATTATTTTTGATGCTCTATACAATTCTAAACGTTAAAACTTTTACCTAAATTTTTTTTACTTTGGCCGCCATTTTCTATATGTTCCCGAAGAAATATATCATTTTTGATGCAACTTTTCAAAACATTATTAGTAGTTCTCTAACCGAATCTGAAGTCAGAATTTCAAAACTACAGACAGACACACAGACACACAGACACACAGACACTAAAAAGGCTCATAGATTCCAGTAAACAACACTTTTTGACCAGTTAGAAATGCTAGATAACATTTATTACAATAATATTTATACCCTGATAAAAATATCGATTTTGTATTTTATTACAGGAATAGAAATGGACATGACAAGATTTCTATCTCAACTTACATCACTAATATAAATAATATAAATATTGTACTGTATTTTTATATAATAAAAATTATTAAATTGTGAATTTCAAGGAGAAAAAAGTGTCTTAAAAATTCAATCATAAAATTTATATATAATTATTAGCTTTTATTAAAAAAATAAAGTACCGGTAAATATAATATGGATTTGTTGTATTAGTATAACTGCATTCATAGCATCAACATTTAAATTACATAAAAACTAGTTTATATTTATATTAATGATTTACTCGTTTATCTGTAACCCATAGTTAATATTAATTATAATTAATTATAATTATATTCAATTATATTTGTATAATCAGTCATTTCATTAATTAGTTATATTTAATTTAATTTATATTTAATTATGACAATTGTAAATATATTAAATTACCGAATGTAAGCAATAGGTATTAAACAAAATATAGGAAATTGTTTTAACAACTGTATTGCCCGATCTGTACTGCAATGTTATACAGTTTTTTTTATTGCATTATTAAAAAACAATTTTTACAAAATTTAGTAAATTCCCAATAAATCTTGATCTTAGCCCTGATATTATATATGACCAAAAGTCATGACTAGTTTTTTGGAAACTTAAAAACCAAAACAAAAGACATACACTATTACTAATAATATTATACTTTATTGAAATACTATATAATGTAAAAGTTAAACTAAAATCAAAAAATCAAAACTTTACCAAAAATACTAATAAATAAATTTTTTTTAGATGATTATCTAAAAAACTAATTGAAAATACATATCGCTTATTGAAATATTTCAAAAATTTTTACTATTTAATAAACTTTGAATTATAACAAAAAATGCAAACTAATTATAAAAATAAATCAAATTAATATATAAAATTAGTTAATACATATTTTCACTAATCTGTTCACATAAATCTATTATTTTACATTTGTTTATAAAATAATATTTAAATTCGTTAATTGGGAACTAATTATTATATATTAAACAATATATTTATAACTTTCAATATTACCACAAATAAGTGTAACATAACTTTCTGTAATTATAATAATAATTTATATTATACTGAATACCATACTAATTAAATTGTAAATTGTAGTCATTAAAGAGTATTTAAAAACTAAATTGATACTAATTTTAATTTATTGAATTTAAATATAATAAATTTCTTTTAATTTTTAAATGTAAAATTATGACATTTTTGAAGAAACAAATTAATTATTATTATATCAATTGAAAATAATTTAATGATGTAAAATGATTAATGACAAACATATTAAACATAACTTTTAATAATAATAAATAAATAAATAGTTGTCATAATATTGATAGTAAATTTTTTGAAAAAAATATCAATTTGAATCATAAACTTTGCTCTTTATAGCAAATGATTATATGTCACAAAACGTATCGATCGATTGAAACAATTATTTGGCAAATATTTTTGTCGTCACCACTAATGAGACATCGATTTAATAATAACACCTATTCTGTCAAATGCTTCGTTAAATTTGTAACTAACGCTCCGGTCTTTTACAGAAAAATATTATCAAACATAAAGTGAAGTAAAAAATAATAAAAACTATTTGAAAGTAAAACAATTTATGAATTGAAACTATAATATATAAAAATAGACAAAATCTGGTTTAAATCCCAAAACATCGCATGGATTAAGAAATGTCGGGTTAAGTAACGAATCCAAACAAAATTGCTTTTCTGTCCTCATTTCATATATATTTTTACTAATAATATTACAAAAAAAACTTAAGGAAATCTATTAAATCCTATTCACAACAATAACACAAAAAAATAGTCAAAAAAATTTAATTCAAGGCAACATTATTGTCAACAGTTAAATATTGATAAATAAAATATTATATATATATAATTTAATATATAATATTTAGATCAATATTGAATCATCAAAAAAGATTGTGATTCCCAAAACTAAGACCTGGCTAAACATAATAATAAATGTATTATATAATCATCATATTATATGATTCGTAATAACCAATAGTTTTGATATTTAATTAGTCAAATACAGGTATCTTTCAAATATATTGTAGTCATTGTTAAGCAAAATAATCATCAATATTGCACAAAACCATCAATATTTTGTTTAATTGGACTCATACTATAGTAGTATACTGAAAGTATTGCATTATATACTGTATTTTAATAATAAAAGTTATAATAAAAGGAAATGTAAAAGAAAGTGGATATTTAGTAGACTTTGTTATTGAAAGTCACAAACTTTATAAAAGGCTTTCCTATTATTTGAAGCAATTGTTTGTTTCAAAAGAAAAGGCATTTAAAAAAGAAAAAGAGTTTTAACTAAATAAGAGCCTCTTTTTATATTATAATGATTAACAACAATAGATTGCTATCTAAAAAAAGTATAAAACAATAGAAATATAGAGAACAACTGATTAACGTATAATAACATATAATTGTACTTTTTTGGTCAAATTTTGGCTAAAATCAAAATAATATAGAAAATTGTATACTATTATACTGTGTATATATTGTATAAAGTAAAGAAATATTGTATACACACTTTTGTGTGTGTGTTTAGACAAATGTTAAAACACGAAAATAGTATGAAATATGATGACATACGAGAACTATGGGCACAATAGAAGTGGGAGCTATTATATGATCCCTGTGTTGGCCTAAATTACATTCCGGCTTTACTTGAGAGGCACACAAGTTGTGGAGCTGTAATAGTAAACCATTATATGAATAATATATTAAAAGTGTTTGAATTTTTTTCTTTAATTTACGGTCATTTGACACCAACGACAATGCAGTCCTGTTATACCATTATATGATTTAATAGGTTTACGGCATTTACTGCATTTGCCCGTACAGTTGCCTTCCGTCCAATGATGAGTAAAAACCTTTTTAATAAATTATTATTATAATTATTATTATTAGATTGACTTTAATTTTGTTAAATTTAAATTTTATAAAATAATATTTACCTGAGATGTCTTTTTCGACTTAGAGTAAGTGCTAATACAAGACGCCGGTGCCCTTTGCACACACCGTTCATGGACTGTATATTTACAAACTATCGAAATTATTAAATATAATGATTATTAAATTAATTTTCTATTCATGTATATAATTTTACTTTCTATTATTAATAATATAAAATATATTTATAATTATAATTAACGGGTGCTTTTTAAATAGTTAATATTTAATCAACCTAAATTACCATATATCAACTAATTTGTAACATTAAAATTCAAATAAAGTAAATTCCTTATTTTATATGTTCTCTAATTTTATGTTAATTTATATTAATAAAATAATATTATTAATTGAAACCAGAATAATTTATTATTAAAATATGCTAAAAATTAGGATTCAGTAAATCTATTTTTAGTAAAATTTTATTGACCATCATATTTTATTTAATAAAGTATTATATATAAATATTAAAAATTTTCAGAGTTTATTGATTTTTTGTGCTAAATCTTAAGTTAATTTGAATAATTTATGTAAAACAATTTGAATATTAAGTTAACAATTTAAAAATGGCGTCAATTGTAAAGATTGATAAATAAGATAATATATTTGAAGCAGTGATATGAATACTGATTAAACATATATCATAATAATAATAAACACATATAATATATTCTATACAAAATTAAGGGATAGCTTATCACATATGTATTGTATGTCCAAAAGTTCAATATATACAAAATGTATATAAAAAAATGTTGGAAAACGGTATCACATAAAGTGGTTTTTTAATTTTATATTATTGTTAGAGATGTAATTCAATTGATAACAATATATACTAATACTATTACTATATACGAGTAGTCACAATAAAAAGTATGAAATTGACATGAATTGCATCCAAAATAGCTTTGCAAATTGCAATAGAATTATAGTAATACCTAAATACTATATATTTAACTTTGAATATAATTAATTGTTTATCAAAAACATACATCCGATTATGAAATGCAATATTGTATAATTCAAAAATTTATTGCAAATAATTTTAGAGCATTATTTTTATGATGAATCATTTAAAACTCATAGTGACCAAAATTAGTACTGAATATATCAAAAATAAAATATAGTATTAAATAATGCATATAATTTACTTGAAGAAAACAATAAATGAAATTTTAACTTGATTTTAAAGATAGTGCTAAATTTTTTTTTAAAAATAAGTTAAATAACATGTTTTAAGCAAAGCTACATAACTTTTTATTATTAAATCTAAAATAGTAAAACAGTAGTAGCAATAGTAATGGTAGTATACTACAGAATATTGTAAGTAAAAATATAATGAGTATAAATAATAAAATTGTATAATACAGTAATTTTACTAATTTAGTTAAAAGTTAATGTTACAAAAAACGATTAAACTAGATTTAATATAAAGTAATTGATTTTAATGAGTTTAATAAAATAATAATTGATATGAAAAAGACTTACAGACACAACAAAGTCCTTTCTTTCCTAATCCTACTAACATATTAAGGCAAAGATTACAATACGCGGGTCTATTGAAGTTCTTTAGCCGCCAAACATGATTGCCGTCGTCTTTGACTGTTTGCTATAATTGTGAGACAATATTAACTATTTTTATTGTCGACTCTAAGGTATGTTATTTAATGCAATGCATAAACAGAATAAGTTATTTAATCCTTTTAAACAATACTTTGTGCGCTAACCTTAATAGTTATACAACTGATTAAATTACAATTGACTTCATAAATAAGTCAGAATTGATATCATAAATGAGAAAACAATAATTGAAAACTAATTACAGAATCTAATCCCAAAAGAACTAATAATGGAATAGTAGTCAATCCACCCCTTTTCCATTCATCCAAAGATACAGTTCCGTCGGCGTCATAATCGATCTCAACCATCATATCTTGTAATATCTATAATAAAATATAATAAACATTAACTAACATAAATCATATTATTCATATCTAATTAAATTAAATCTAATCTAATGTATAATAAACCAAATTAGTATTTTTTTTAATTTAAATTTTTTAATGTTTGTACTGTTGGTCTCTCTGGCTATGGTTTTAATAATGTGTTTGCAATATATTTACGATACAAACAACTATCAAAAACAATAAAAAGCTGCAAAAAAATCCTTTGCAACGAAAACTCTTTTTTCTCACTTAATAGATGTTTGGCTAATCTTAATTCATTAGATAAATACTGCAAAAGTCAATCTAACCGACTCCTAACAAACTTAAATCTCAAATAAAATAAAAATAAATTTTGTTTAACTTATTTTACTTAAAAAGGTTTAGCTATAAATGTTGTTGTGTTTGGGGTTTCAATGTAATATTGTTTGACATATCTATCAATCATTGTTTCCTAAAAAGAGAGTTTAAATCAAATTGTGTGTTGATTTCAATCTCACACTTATAATAAAGTATTGTTGTGTATAACAAATCAAAGTTTAAACTAAAAATTTGTTTTTATAGAAGACAAACAAAGAAAACATCCATCTCTTATAAAAATGACACTCATATCAGATCTCTATTATAAAAATATAATTTATTTCAAAACACAAACTATAATGTTTTAATTTAATAAAATTTATTAACTATTGTTATATTTTTAATATTCTAATATTGATACTCTAGTGCCCATAATTTATAAATAATTATAATAATGATATTAAATCTGTTGTCAAAATATTATGATATCAATCAAATTGAAATATTAATTAATGACAAAATTCTCTTTTAACAAACAAGACATACTATTTCATACAATTGATAATATGGTATAAGTTATAAAAAGTCACTTCAAAATACATTTAAACCTTTGATAAACATCTTTGAGTGCATTCAATAGCAGTCATGAATCACATCTCTAATTCTCTAACCATAAGAATCATAACACAAAACATTTTTAAAATATGTATTATAAAAATTATAATATTTTAGGAATCGCATAATAAACTAAAGAAAATATATTAATATACAGTATATATATATATATATATATATATATATATATATGTGTTGCGCAAGTTTTTTGGTCTAAGAGGTATAGGAGATCAACTGACAAAAATCTCAATAAATCTGGTACTGGGGTATTGGGTGGGGAGTCGAGTTTTATTGCATTATTAAACAGCAATTTTTTTTAAAAATTTAAAATCAAGTGTTGAAAATCCCAATAAATTCCCATATTTTCGGTAAATTTTTTCAAATTTATAAATTATTTAAATTTATCTTAAATTTTAAAAATATATTATCTTAAAATTATATTCTACCAATAACATAACAAGTTTTTAAACATATAGTTCATTTTTAAGATTTTAATTACATATTTTTTAAATAATGTTATATTTAAATGATTTTTTAATACTTAATTAACTTAATTATAGCTAAATTGTAACTATTTTACAGAATAATTTGATGTAAATAAATTAGAAAACATAAAAATACTAAGTTAACATATATTAATTTAAATTTTAGGCAGGGTCAGTTTCTAATCGTTTATAAATGTTTAAAATTTTCAGAAAATCTGGGGTAAAATATCCAAAATCTTGGTCTCTGGGAGAGACCCCACCGATCGCAACCCTGATATAAATATATATATTGTAAATATGAAAATAAATAATATATATATCTGTATTTTTTAACTTTTTGCTTAAACTACATTAACTAAATATAATTAGTATTATTTTTAGAAACTTATTTAATAGAATAAATTATTTCTATAAAAAGTTTTCTATGCAATAAAATTATATTTTATAAGATACAAAAAATTAAAGCCAACTTAACTCTTGTTATATAATTTAAATAGAAAATTAAATTATAACCAAATCTCTAATCTATAAAAATATGAAAATATGTATTTTGAGAGACTCTAGTCATTACTCTTCACTTTAAGAATAATATAACTTCGAAATGAATAAAATGAGAATAAAATTGAATTCTTATTATTTAAGATAACTCTATACATAATACATGGGATTCAATACAAACTATAATATAATTTATATTTGTTTTGAATTCAATTAACATTCGAAACGCTCATAAAATTGCTCTCAAAAATAGTCAATATTTTTAAACAAAATATCTATTTTTAATATATATAATACTGTATATATAAATTGAAAAAACAGTATTATATGTTAGCTATATAATAGAATAGTAGATTTACAATTGACTTAAAATAATAGTAGATTTTATAAAAATATTAAGTGTTTTTTATTATACATTGTACCATATTTTAGATATAATAATAATAATAATGTTATCTATGAAAATTAATATTATTTGAATAGATTTTGAATAAAATAAAAATAAAGTGTAAATTACTAAAAATTTATTTTCTTGCGGTAAAAAATTATTTTCATAAATCCAATAAAATATAATTTAGTAAATTTCGTTGATGTTGTTTCTGTTATAACAAAAATTCAGTCTCAAAACAGATTGTATTAAATTTAAATATATATTGAGAAAAGTGATTGAATCTCAATGTATTTGAAAATTCGTTAGATAATAGTAAAAATCTTTTATAACCTAAATATTTATAAATTTCTATTTATAAAATCAGAACATTTTGTGTGTTTTCAAATAAATATAAAAAAGAAAATTTATTTTATTGTATAATGTATTGAATAGATCGACAACTTTTTATTTGAAAAACAAATGTCACTCTAATAAACGTTTATATAATTTAACTGATTATCTGACTTGAAAAACATTACAAACCGGTTTCAATTCCGAGACATCCCATCCCAAGTACTCAGCCATTGTCATCATCTGATCCACAATACAGTCCATCTCCTAACACATAAAATAATATTTTTAAAAAGCAATTAAATATTATTATCGTAATTATAAAGCATCTGGAAATATATCAAATGTTTACATAATATATAACAGTGGAAAGCATTTTCATATATATAGACTAATTTTGTTAAATGTTAGAACAAATATAACATTATTCTATAGATATTTTTACTCATTTGTTTAAAGCATTTCACGTAAAGATTAAAAAATATTTTGTGTCAAAAACAGATTTATGATACAAAACACAAATTATAAGCTCATTATTTCACATTTTAAAATACACATGTATTGTATTGATGGTTAAAAAAATGTGTAAACGATTACATAAATATTATATTAAAGTGCTATATATTTTAGTAAACATAAAATATTATTATTATTATACTATCGATTAAATGACTACAACATATCATCACTTTTAATTAAAGGATATATCAACAGGAGAGGGGTTAATGTGTATTATATTATAATGTATTAAGATTTACTGGTTTTGACATTAGTTAACATTTTCAAAATATTTTATTAGCAAAATGATGTTATTATGTTATTAACAATTGGATTAAATACTCATTTATTGCTAATAATTTATTACTAATTAATAATAATAGGATATTAGGACACACATTATATAATTAATTCGTATAATTTCTATATATTAAAAAACTAATTTTATTGACAAAATTTAAGCATTAATATTATTTATTTTTAATACTATACTATATAATATATAGTATATATAATCCATTATTTAAAAATAATTTAGAACTTTATTTCTCTTTTAGATTATATTTTTTCTATTATAAAATTCAATTTAAATCAAAATTAATTGAAAAATTTCAACAAAAATATTAAGAGAAAACATTTTTATTTTCAATTATTTCAAATATTTCTGTTTAAAATTATTTATTACAAGATTTTAAACATTTCCTTAATAATAGAATTAATAAAATAAAAATGTGTAAAAATTATTTTTTTTTGATTTATCATAAATGTTAAGTAAAATAATTGAACTAAAATTTCTTATAATAAGTCTCTATAAAATAGTATATTGAATCTCATTATGAAATTCCTTAATCTTAAATAATTTAATATAATTCAAAAAATACATAGTAATGAAATACTGCTTTATACAGTATATGATATTTTTAGCACATATTTATAAATAACAATTTTAAGATCAAAAGTAATAATAATTTTATTTTTTATTAATTAAATGTTTTTTATATAAATTTTTGGGGCAAATAGTTCTTAACGTATCATCAAATAGTTATTAACATATCCTGAGAACACAAACTACTTTATTAATATTGTTTATGCATTTTATAAAATAATAATATAAATATACTAACAATAAAATCTAAAAGTATAAAACATTTAATTATTGTAAGCCTCGTTACTTAACTTGGTGTAGGTCTCGCAAACTAACCTTAATTTTAACAGAAATACATTTATTTAAATAATTAATTATAACTAAATTAAACTATAAATATATAAAATAGTCTAGATTAATTTTAATTATTAAATTTGAGTATTTTATGTTGTCTGAAAATATTAAATTATAAAATATGATGACATCATAAAATAACATACAGCGCTCCAAATGGTTGTATCATTTATTTAGCACAAAGTTTCAATAGTAAGTGTTGTAAAGTTTCGCTATAATCCCGGTTTTCCGGGCGAGTCATCCTGAGCTCCAATACTAATAACCAATATATATATATATATATATATATATATATATATATATATATAGCTCAGTGACCACCGACCACTAGCAACGACTGCGAATACTAGTAACGTCTAGAAATACAGTATATCTTAACGCTTAAATAGTACTATTTAACGATCCTTACATAAATGACGTCACAGATCGCAACCATACATACCCCGCTTTGCTTATTGCTTCGTAAAGTTTACGGACATTTAAACGGTTTAAACCCATAGACAAACCGTACAAATTAGTAAAAAGTTAAAAACATAAATTTAAGCCAAATTTAAAAAGATAATGATTTTTAATATAGTTTTATTTCTGTCTATATTTATGATAACATATTATTTGGATGACTCTAAGTGTAAGTGGATATGAATTACAGTATTATCAATAGCTTAAGCATACATTTGCCTATCAAAACATGAAATACATTTTATATATGTTTTTCTGTTATTATTATTTAAATCCATTAAATTAATAGAAATGTTAATCACGAGAGTGAATGTGTAAACCATAACTAAATAATTGTGTTATTATTTGATTTAATTTGTTTAAACAATTATTTGGTCTTTTTTAAGTTTAAACGTATTAAAAATGTCAGAACTATTAATTAGATATATTATTTAGAAGTTCGTTCTGATAATGCTATATAGCACTCAATAGTCTTGTTTTAAATTGAATTAAATAACAAATAATTTTTATAAGACAAATGATGATTAATATTATTAATTATTATTATAATTTAACAAATAAATATAATTTTAAAAGTTTTAATTAAATACTATTTTATTACTGTATAATACTTTTAAACAATAATATATAACTTATATTATTATACTTAATATCAAAAGATGAGATTATCCTTAAATCAAAATTACACGATTAATATTATAATTAAATAAATAAATTAATCCAAATAATAAAATATTAACAAATATTATTAAAAAACAAAACATAGATCTTTAAAATATAAAAAATAGTATTTGAAAAAATTGAAAAAAATGCCACAATTTATTTGAGTTCAATACAAATATATTAGAGAATTGACAGAAAATAAACAAACATTAAACACGAAATACATTTAGTCTGATATCCTCTTGAGTTTCAAATGCAAAAATGCTATCGATTTTTGTCGTTTAATGTTTTTTATTATATTAAACAAATATTTGTCAAATTTTTAAATGTCAAAGTTCACTTAAATTTATAATATAAGGATAAGCCATATAAATGTATTTTACTGTATATGCCATAATATGTAATAACTGATCAGATATCAATTATAATGACTTTCATAACATTTGAGATAAATAGTGAAACCAAAAATGCTGTTTTACTATTTTTATCATATTATAGCCAAACCTATATAAATTTATATTCAAATATATTGTATACATACAGTATATATATATATACTTTAGCTATATATTGAAATGTTTATAATTTTCATACATTTTTCTAAGTATATTAAATTCTTATCATAAAAGAGCCTAAAATACATAAAATAAAAATTATAATTGAAATAAAATTTTATTCCTTTGATATATAAAAAATATATTATATTAAAGAATATTCTTCAATATCTAATAATAAAAATTTTTTAGTTCTCATAAATTATCTTAAATACATAAAAAAGTATACATTCAAAAGTTAAACTAAATTATAGCTTAAAATTATTAATGTTGTATTATGTTTTGACTCTATATATTGCCTAAAATGAATTGCATATACAGTAAAAAAATTAAGTTGAAGTTAAATTTCAAACAATAGCCCATATAAAGCAATGAATAGATATATCTTATATACTGAATTAACATACAGTATAAATAGATATATAAACATTTAACACATACACACACACACACTCTCTTCCCATAAAAATTATTATTACTCTATTTCAATAATTTTCATTTACATATTATATCACATTTATAACTATAAAAAATAAATATATTTTGATAGTAATAATGTGTTAAATATTTATAAAATAATTAAAAGAACATTTGCAATACAACATCAATTGTTTTATATATAGAAATCCTTTTATATAATTTTATATTAAAAATTATTATATCAGGATATATATATATCAAGGTTTTTGATCTTAGAGGGCTATAGGGTGGGGTAAAATCTCGAAAAATTTGAGGAGTATAGGGTGCGATGTACCCTTTTATTGCATTTTTCAATTTTTTCAAAATTTATGGGGAGTCAAAAGAAAATTTCCGAAAATTCCATATAAATCGGAGAAAATACACAGCAATGTAGGTGTCATTACGAAAAAAATGTTAAAATTTCGAAATATTTTCTTAAATTAATAAAAACTTTAATTTTAATTAAAGATATAAAAATAAATAATAATTCTCCTTTAAAATGTGAAAATTTAAATTAATAATAAAAACATTACAATATGTTGCATATTTTATTATTATTATCTCAATTATGTTAAAATAAAATTTTGTTTGTACTATAATAAGTATTTATAAATAGCTAATTTTTAATATTTTAGTTTTATATTTTGAATAAAAATAATATAATATTTTTTTATTAATTTAACGTAATTTTATCTATTTTACTTGTTTTTATTTGATAATTTAATTTAAAATAAGTGGATAAAACATAATAACAGTAAATTAACAATTAATAATTAAAATTATATTTCTTTTAAATTTAATTATATAATTTATATAAAATTAATAAAATTATATATAAAATAAAATTATATAATTTGAAAAAATCGGAGAATTATGGGTTTATTTCTCTTCGTTTATAAGTTATTTTTTTATTTTGTCAAAAAATCTGGGGTAAAATCCCAAAATCTCGATCTTAGGAGAAAATAGCTATACCCACTACCCCTTGCTTAACCCTGATATATATATATATATAATAATATTTAATATATTTAATAATCTTTGGATATTTATAACTAATACAATTGTAAAGTACAATAGTTAATATTTGTAACACAATAAATAGCAAATAAAAACAATTAAGACATTTAATAATAAAAAGCTAATATTGCATTTATTAATATATTATATATTGAAAATATAACTTTAGTTATTTAATAATATGATAAAATTGCTATATTTAGATATCAAAAATAATTATTAATTTACATATAATAAAGTAAAATAAATTGCAAAAAATAGAGTTATTCGAAATAATTTTAATTGAAAAAATGTAAAACTATTTTTATATATACAATACTATTAGAGTTTATCAGTAAATGGACTTAATTTTATGCTTTTTAAGGTCACTTTTAATCCAATTTAGTAGTGATTGCCGAGTGATTGCTAATGAATTAATGCCGACTACTGGGTATGTGTTTTGTAATATAAGATATTTCATATAATAAATTATATAAAAACATTTACAAAATCAATTGATAAATGTGATTAAATAAAAATAATAAATTCATTTAAAAGCTTTTATCAAATTAATCAAATAAAATGGTAAAGTTTGAAATCATTATGGTTTTTACACAACTTATTTATATAAATTACTAAAAATATTTTTAAATAAAAACTACAAGTGGTGCTTAATAAATCATAATAAAAAATAAAACATAATAATATTAACTTACTAATATAACAATTTATTCATAATAAAAATTCTGCTTCAATTATGAAAAAATATTATAATATTAAATATAATTTTTATACAATTTTATCATGCAAATTATTAATGTTTTTAATAAAATAATTAAAAGTATATAAAACAATAAAACATTTTAATAATCTGATAACAATTTCCTATTTATTAAAATTTTTAATTTATACATTTACATTCTTGATGTACGGAAAAAATTTGACTTTTTGAAAAAATATTAAATAATTTATACAATGTATAAGTGAAAAATAATTTGTTACATATAATAATTAATGAAAACAATAATCATTTTATATTAAATGATTTTTATTTAAATTCACTGCGTTTGTAATATTACTATAATAACAATTTAATAGATTATAATGTTATAAGTTTTATAATATATTCATTTTTAGTATATGTCATTAACTAAAAACAGAATATTCTTAAATATTATATTAAAACAAATAAATTTCATTAAATGCGTGGACGCAATAAAAATTAAAACATAATTAAATTAATCTGAATGAAAAACATAAAATTGCATTTTATATATTGGATTTATTTTATGAGACCTAATGTTTCTGATAAATAAAACTAAAATATCTAAATTCAAAAACTTTACTATATTTTGTAAATCATTTGTGAATTAAAGCATAAAACAAAAAAATGAGTTTTTATAAAGTTTTCATTCATTTCATGTAATACAGAATCGTTTAACTCAAAAACAAAACACAAATATTTTATTTGTGACCCAAAAGTGCTGTATAACTAATAGTAACGCAAGTGAAGGATACACAAAAAATATAATAATTGAATGTTTAGATTCATAGATATTATATACAAAATTTTGTTAAAATGTAAGAATTGTTTGAAACCTTTTTTTTAGCAAATTATAAAAAAATAAATTATAAAATTTATAACATTTTTCATTTAAAATGTTAAAATAGTTGCGCTTTACAAAAATAGATGTTATTAAATGTGAATAAATAATTGTTCAGGTTTTGCTGTAAAAATAACCATTTTTAACATTTGTTTCCATCAAGAAATAAGATAATATAAAAATACATTTTCCTAACGTTTGTGTAGAAATGTTGAGATTTATTAATACAATAATATAAATTTGCATCATATGTTAGAAAATGTATGACAATTATATAAACTACTGTATATACGGTATATACTGTATAACGACACACTTTCTATCATTAGATACACAATATGTTGAATAGATTATATGAGAAGCAAATGTTTTAACGGTTTCTAAGTTTGGCTCCAATGTTATGTAAAAGTAATGTTAAGAGGAAATGAAACATAAAAGACAACGACCTTTTGATGAATGAGATATTAAAGTAAAGGACAAATAAAATGCTTGAATACAAACACTGTTATAATTTTAAAACTTTTATTATGTGTATAAGTTTTGATTAAAAGTGTTACCATTAAAGGTGACACACAATACTAAACTATAAACCCAGAATTGTTTAGTTTTAGTATATACTGTATATACTATATTATAGTAACCTTATATTATACATAAATTTGTTTGTATGTACAGTATATACTGTAGTATATAGTATATGCTTATAAATAACTCATACAAACAAATCAATTAAGAATATAAGAGATGAAAATTTATTAATAAATTTGCTCTACTTTTGCAAATGTCAAACATTTTCATTAATGAATACACAGTCTTGTGTTCATTGACTACAACTGATGTTATGATGAGAGAAGTAGAGAAAGTAAACGCATTAATAAATAACTGTATAAATAAAATACAATATTATATTTGTATTGTAATGCAGTGTTAAACAAACAAAATATTGTTATCAACACAATTATTTATACTTACATCACCGTTATATTGTTTAGCATTAATTTTTTATTTTTAGTTATACTGTATTGCAATTAATTTTAATTAAAATTATAAATCAAGTTTATTTAATATATAAATTAAATGCTTATGATAAACAAATTAATAATAATAATAATAATAATAATTGTTTTGACAAATAATTATTAAAAATTTTACATAATGTCAAACACATGATAACAATAATCTAAAAATAATTGTAATTTCTATTATATATATTATTTTTAACATTGTTTGGTATTATAATATACTAATGTTACATAGCTAAAATTACTTAGTAATATAATTTTGTCAATTAATAAAAATTGCAACTCATTTAAAAAATAAGTTATCAAAAATAAATTTAAAACATGTTTTAAATATTAAAAAATAAAGTGTTTAAACTTGGAAAATGAGTCTTTCAAAATTATAAAATCAAATTAATTATAAATTTACAAAGAATATAAATAAAGTCATATTCAATGTATTTGTAACAAAATTTTATTTTTAAATAAATAAATGTTTGTAAATTTAAAAATTAAGTACTTTTATTATATGATAAAATGTTTTTCTGGTCTCATTATTCTAAGTATAAATGCGTTATATAAGTTATAAAATGAATATATAGTATATTAACATAACATCAAAAATATTATACTACTGTAATACAGTATATATTTTAGTAAATTTAAACGAATTTCATTTTTATGACATTAAAAACATAAAATTTTCAAAATAAAAAAATATAATAATAATTTTAAAAAGATAGCAATATATGATACAGTAATAAAAAGTATAATGTGTTTATCAAAAATAGCGTTCATAGTGTATATTAATATAAATGTTCAATATTTTAAATATACATATTTTTATTTTACCAATATATTTTATAAAATAAATATACACAAATGATATAATTTTTATATGTTGTTGACATTACTTAGTAATGAAAACAAATACTATAAAACAATAATTATTATTTTATGATACTCTATCATATTTGAATAAACAAATATGCAATGAATAATATATTGACATACAGTATAAATTAATTTATGTAATTTTTTTTAAATAGGTTAATGCTATTAATATATTAACAGACATTTGAACAAATCTTTAGAATTTAATATTTTAAGTTTGGACTAAATTAGTATTTAATTTATAATATATACTTTATATATGTATATTACATGAAACCAAAATGAATTTAATAATTTGGGGTCAAGAAGTCAAGTGACATAAAAGGGTTGTCGATTACATATAGAATATTCGTAAATATACTAAAATTCTACATTAAATTCATATATTCTATACATTTAAAACTAAATTTTTTAAATGATGTCCCATTTTGTCCATTTCTCATAAGAGATAATAGATTGGTTTGCAAAGACATTTGTGTTCTACTTTTTAATCAAATATATGAATCCAAAGTCAAAATTTATAAATATTTAAAAACGGTTAAAACACACACACATACTGTACAAACATAACGAATTCAGATACTACTCCTTTAAGTGAAAAAACAATACAAAATCCTGATTTAAAAATAATCAGAATTATCCACTAATTCCATAATTAGATATTTTAGTACTTATATATTATAGAGTTATATATTAAATATCCCAAAATCTATAATATAGTAAATGAATGTCAAAATAAATTTAAAAACTTACATTACTATCCAAATAGCCATTACTATCGGTGTCGTAAAGTCTAAATACAACTATAAATAAAAAGAAATGTTTTTGTTAATAATGCAAAACAAGTCTTTATAAATTTATAAATTATATTATAATAAATACAACATAAGATATGACTAGCAATTGATTTTTGTTGATAATAGATATGCTATAACATATCAAAAAGTTATGCTCTGATAATAAAAAGCAACAAAAATTGGATGACATATAATAAAACAATGGCTTACACTCTAACTTATCCTCTGGACGACCGGCCTCTAGCAGTGATAGATAACAAACCACATCTTTAAATGGCACTCGAAGTAGGTTTACGTCTATATGAGAGCTCGTCTTTCGGATGGGCTTTAAATCGACTGTAAATACCAAATGCATATAAATGAATAAATAATATAAGTATATACTGTATATGAATTAGTTATATAAAATAATATATTTATTTGTGTGTGTTTTTGTATGTGTATGTGTATGTGTATGTGTATGTGTATGTGTATGTGTATGTGTATGTGTATGTGTATGTGTATGTGTATGTGTATGTGTATGTGTATGTGTATGTGTATGTGTATGTGTATGTGTATGTGTATGTGTATGTGTGTAACAAAACATATTTCACTATAATTATTAAACTACAGAATGTCTATCAGTTATATGTTTAAGACATTTATTAAGTGCTTGTGTTTTAAATGTCAGGAAAAGAGATTATATGTATTCAGTGATGCGTTCGAAAAAAGTTGAAATTATTGTTAAATATGCTATTAATACAAATACTGTATTGTAGATACCAAATATGTAATCATTAATAATTTTGTTAATATAAATCAAATGTTACACAACTTGCTTATCAATTCACTTTCATTTTAATACTATATAATACTTAATATTGATATAATAAATTAGAAATTTGTAATATATAAAGTTATTTGAATACTGTAGGTTTACTTAACAACTACATTTATTTAAGTTGCATTAATGAAATTATTGTTATTTAAAAAATTTAAAAAAAAACTTAATTACAAAATCAAAAATTAATATAATCATCAATTTATCTATGATTACAAACGTAAGTATTGACTATAATTATAACATTTTAAATAATTTTATAAATTCTTGTAAATTACAATAACAGAAATTATAGATTGTATTAATCGCATATTTATTTAAATTATAGTAATTTTTTAAAAAAAGCTTTTAAAAAATTAATTTTACAATACATATTTGAACGAATATGATATTATTTCTTAAAACTTAATATCATCATAAAATATATATAATTACTAGTAATCAACTACAGTATAAACTAAATTATTATCGATGTTATTATAAAGTTATTTTGAATAAGATAAAGTGAATATAAATTAGATTAGTTGTATTGGAGAATATTGAAAATATGGTAAATATGATAATAAGCAAGGTCATTTACAACTAATTCTATACAATTCTAATTCAATAATAAATTGTATATATTGTTTAATTCGAGTAACAACTCGACCAAAATGTGCATCACTTTCAATATATTTGCTTTAAATTAGATTTGTATTATAACTATACTGTATATCTCAATCTAATAATAAATAATTTTATTTATCAGTCACATTATGTACTCTATTTATAAGACAAAAGGTTTCTAAAAGATAATTCAAAATCCTTCAAATATATTATATAAAAACAATATTTAATATATTATCACATAATATAATTCTTTCGCTAAAATAGCAAAGACTATTGCATAATATTTATAAACATTAAATGATAAAAAAAGTTAAATTAAGTAAAAAGTTGATTAAGACAACTATAAAAACTTCATTAAAAAATTATGGCAACTATAACTAAAGCAAAAAACAGTACAGTATATATATACAAAATTATAATTATTTATTTATAATATAATAAAAATATATTATTTAAATTATTAGTTTATTAAAATTAAAAAATAACTTAAAGTGAAACAAAAAGCATATATACATTACTTTATATAACGCACATTAAAACATAAAACATGAAAATTTGAAATCTTTGAAAAAACTAAATAAAATAGTATTCTTAAAATTGTCGAACGGTTTTATATTATCATTATATTATTATTTATTTTAAATATATAATATATGTTATTAACTCATTGCAATATTAAAATAATGTTATTTTAATAAATTTTAAATATATTATTGTTTTATATAAAAATAATATTTTCATTGCTTAATATTTGAATACAAAAATAAGAAAAGATTAAATAAATATATATGTTAAAAATAAATATTAGTGTTTTATAACTTATAAGATAATTAAATTCTAGTTAATTCAATATACAGTATCTCAATAAGGCCTATTAATGTGAAAATAATTAAAATGTAAGATTAATATATAACAAATTACAACTAAAGTTATTTTGAATCCATTGCTAAAATATTAAACTTCCAGTAAATAGCTTATATTTACAATATATATATAAAGAATTATATACAATATTATAAATAGTAATATTGTGTAATAGCGATTATTTTTAACTAAAATAATTTTAAAATTAATACATTATTACATTTTAATTATTTAGATTTAAGTTAAGAAAACTACCGTAATATAAATGTTATGAGAGTAATAAAAATTATTGTCACAAACATTAGATTTATATTTGTATACATTTGTCGATCATTACTGAAATATAACAGAGTCTTTAAATACATGCATACTATAAGTTGTATATGTTTTCTATGAGTTAATTGGTTTTATATTAATGTGTTTTGAAACACAAAGTTTATGCAAGTTTTTCATCATATAATGTCTCTTTCCTTTTGGTTGAGATAACGCTATCTCTGTATACATCAAAACGTATACATTATTTATAATTAATGAAATAAATAGAGAATCCTATGGATTGGTAAACATGTAAAATATTAGCAAAACAGTAGGAAATCACTAAAAGAGATAATCTATGAGAAAGAGTAGACATAATCATTATTATCTGACACAATCAATACTTTAAAAGCTTCATTAGTATATTATATCACAAATAATATACTCAAATATGTTTTCACACTATTTTTCTTATTGAATGGTTTATCAATTTGTAATTTGATTTCAAATTAAATGCAAATAACACCTAGATACAAATTTTTATATATGTATTATAGAAACAGATCAATAGCTTCGGGATCTAAAAGTTTAATATTTATGATTAAATTCTTGAAATACAAATATATTTATAGAAAACTTTTTTTTCCTTAAAGGCATACAATAATCTAATGGGTTTTGTTTAAATTAAATAAAATTGGGTAACAACTCGATAAAAATACACCAAAATTTTTTTCAGCTAATGTAAAAAGTTTGCACACAATAATAAATATCTGTTAAATCAGTGCATTACGTGAAATGTAGCAAAAACTTATAATAATCAATGTTTTTATTTAAGATTTATACATTTGATGTGTTTTGATTGCAATATATACTATATATTTGAAAGAATGGACTTAAATGAAGCGTTTAATGAAATGAAAAAAATGAAATACAAATTGTTTGATAGCATGAAAGCATCGCTTTTACGATAAATACAATATGATATACACTCAAAAAAGACTATCAAATCAATTTCATAAGAAATAAATTTTTAATATAATAGCTATGATATTAATTCAATATTAAACTAAATAGTGTTAACATAAGTTGAATAAAACAAGAATATAAATATTAAATATTATCACCAATAAAATGTTAAGTTCTTAAATTTATTCAATAAAATAATGACTTAATTAATTAAATAAAAATTAATTAATTTAATTAAAAAATTATGTTTATCGTTTTTCATTTTTCATTAAATATTTCTTTAATAATTAGATAGTCATGTTATACTTCATAAAATATCCTTTTGATTAAAAAAATTAAAAATCAAACTAATTGAGAAAATACTAATAAATTTTCTAATAAAAGCAATTTGAGTTTCATGTCTAATGAATATTATCTTAAGTGAAGTGCCTTTAGGGACGACTTGTCTTTAATTGTGTGATAATAACAGATCGGGTGTCACAACAGTCACATTAACTGAAAGTCCAACAAATCAATAATTGAGAAATACATTGGAAGATAAATTAGGATCAAAAAATAAATTACTGTTTTTCAGACTTTCCATTATATGCCTTCCTTTGCCTTTAATACTCTATTTGGATAATTTTGTCACAAGTTTTACATTATAATAAATTAATGGATTTCTTGCTTAAAGGCTTTTCACACTAATAACTATTTTAATTTTGTTTTTTATTATTAAAACATTTTTTATTTTTTTTATAAACTAAACAACAAAATTAATTTATTTCATTTTAATTAATATTCATTTACTTGAACAAAAAATCTTATTTGTTGCTATTATATTAGCATTTTGATACAAAACAAATATACCAAATATACTAAATTGCTATTATACAAAAATTGTAAATTCTAAATACATATTATAATTTATTAATAAAAATTTTACAATTAAACTTTAAACTTTAAGTTAAAATGTTAAGAATTATTTTAAAATATTATTTATTTCGTATATTGTACTATATTTTTTAATTGTTATGTTAATATTTAGTCTTAAAGTTTTGTATGCAGTGTATCCATACAAATGCATTTATATTACATAAACAAGATTATTGATAAAAATATTAATAATGATATAATAGTATTAATAATTGAAAAATGAAAACTTACTTATCTTATGAATTGGTGAAACACTTTTCTTTACAAATGACAGAAATAGTCGTTTAATTAAATCTCTGGGAGTCTCGACCTCCAGATATTTATCCATAAAACTTTGAAAACCCTCTAAATCCATGTCCTGTTATAATGTAAATTATTAATTGATAAAAATAATAACACAATTGTGTATTACTAGATAAAGTGTAATATTTAAATAAGAGTAATACAAGAGATTAATTATAATAATATACAAATGTCGGGTCACTTACACCCTCGGGATTATAGCGCGAGAAAGCGCCCGACTCTTTAAACTCGGTCTCTAAGACATCACTCAACTTCTTTGTTGAATCTAATAATAACAAAATTATTTCAAATTTATATTTTATTTAAATTTTGTTACAAATAAGCCAAGTGTTTGCAAGTATTAAAAATTATTTTTATTAATTTATTCATATTTTGTAATCTTATTATGTTATCCAGTATTGTATAAACACTTAAGTTAGCAATAAATTCATGAATATATTCATTAGTTATAATTCATTAAAAGAAATTGTGTTTATTGTACCAAATATAATACTTATACTAAAAGTTTATAATATATATATATATAAACACTGTATACTATATTATCATCAAAACTCTTATATTAGTATATCTTATTAAATAGTATTACATAAGTCTTTATATCTTTAAATGAATGAAACAAATATAAGGGCAACGATGCGGTAGTATTTGTTAAGCGATATTATGTTCATTACATTCGTGTATTTGAAAAATGCTTTTAACAATATATATATATATATATATATTATCATTATAAGTATTATTAATAAATTATAAAAGATAAAGTTACATAAAAATTTTATATACAGTATATAAAAACAAATATCATACATGTACTCTCTCTCTATATATATATATATATATATATATATATATATATATATTAAAATTGAAAAATATATAGATAAATTGAAGCATGATTATTTTACTTATTAATAGCAATGTATAAAAATGTCATAACGGATACAAACACTATTGCCTAATATATTATTCAATGATAATAAATGATAATAATATTAACATATTTTCATATCTATATTTGATTACAATTTCAATTGATTATTCAAGTGATCATTATTTAAACAAATGACAAATTATTTTATATTTGACTTTTTGAGTACAGAATAATCAATGTTTTCAAAAGTATTAAATATAAACTCTATATTAAATAAAATATATAATGTTTGAGAAATACAGTTAAGTGTTATATATGATAGTATGTATGATAATAACTGTTAATAATAGTTAATAATAGTTAATAATAATAATAAATATGACATACATTGTATGTATTGTTGTAATGCTTCAAACTCTTGCGGTGACAACTTTTTCCACTTCAATGTTGTCGTTATAGTCATAGAGGATGTCATCTCAAGACTGCATTACAAACACAACTCAACGCAAACCCAATTCACTGAAAATCCTCACAATTTTCGTATATTTTTATACCGATTCACTAAAACACTAATCAGAGCGCAGTATTCAACTTAAGCGCCGCCTCTTAACGATAGGACAGCCCTCTGTCAGACATTTAATTATTTCGATTTTGGAAAATATCGAAACATTTTATATTGAAACGGGACTTCTGTCACGTGACAATGTATGACTAAATTGTAAAATTCTAATTACTATTATTCTAAATCATTTGACATAATATTCTAAATAGATTTCATGTATTTTTTATCTATCGATTATTCTAACTTAAGCTTACTCTCATAATAAAATCAAATTATAAGTATAATAATAGTTTTAATTTTAATTTGAATGTAAAATTTTATTTGAGATATAAATTCTTAGTTTTTTTAATTAAAAAAAAATATTTTTGTATTTTTTTAATTAGTATTTAGAACATTACCATCGATTAATTTATAAAATTTAGTTCATTATTGATTAATAATCATAAATAACGTTCATAAATTATATATCGATTTTCGACATTAAAATAGAAATAGTTATTATTCGATATCGAATTCTTTAGATTTTTGAATATCTTTATTACTTTATATTTTAGTCAACAAATAGAACATTTGAAATACAATTATATTTAATATTTTAATAATCAATATATGGTTTCAATATAAACCTTATGTTTGTTTATTAATATTAATAAACATTATTTGCTTTAACTCTAGAAATGTGTTTCCAATGTTTGCATTGAAAGCACTAAAACATCGATTGTTTGAAAACCGATGAAAACATTGAATTTAATGGTCAGGTTTGAGACACGAAAAGAGTTTTGATGCAAATGTAATAACATTGTGTCAATTGATGGCCAATAACTTGACAACTGATGGCCAATTGGCCGCAATCTTAGGTGATACTCCACGCCGTAGGCGAGCGGCAGCAGTGGCCGCACAAAAGAGTTGGCAACAAATCGAGGACGAAGAAGGCATCACTGAAAATGATATCATTTTTGTTGAAGAAAAGACACAAACAAAGATACCGACAATGAAGAACATAACACCCATTCGGTTGTCGGCTAATACAGGCATCAGGAGTGGACCCGCAGTTAATACGGGTATCAGATCTGTGACACCTATTAATCCATCAAAATCGATACCGACTGGCATCAGGACCGGACCCACTGCTATACGGGTTATCACACCATCTATTAAGAGACCGGCGCCCACTATAAACCCTCTTATCATTAATATGAAGAAAACTAAGAAGACTATCGATTCAGATGTCGAGTATTTACCAAACAATGATAAACGCATTAGAGATTTGAGATCAAATACATACGCTATCATTGGTAACAATCAATTCGCTAAAAACAATATCAGAATAATTACATTTGGCGGCCAAAACACAACTAAACTTACGGGACAACAATTAATTGAGATTATATCGGATCAGTCGACCCGAACTATTATTAAAGATAATATAAAGCCTGTTAAGAAACCATTGATCAAAAAAGCGCATCCGAATGAACCCGACGTCTTACCAATTGTTGCTGAAGAAGTCGAAGAAATTGTTGGAACTTATGATGTTTTGGATGATAACAATAACAGGGAAAATGAAGAGTCTATCGATGACTTGCAAATGTTATGCGAGACTGAAACACAACTTCTTGAAAGACAAAAGACTAAACAAAACTTAGAGCAAAATGAAGAAATTGAAAATAAAGATAACATAAATAACAGTTCAACAGTTGTAACACAAGTGATCAGTAAAAATGTATCAAATATTACAGTCATAAAAAAGTCTGATTCAGTTGTGAAAATTAATGGCAAATTAGATTCAATTTGTGGCTCTCTTGAGATGAATTGTGAGAGTTTTGATGACGAGTTCACTGATGGTCTTTGCATTGAATGCGATGAAGATATTCTTAATGCTAATCAATGGAATAAAGCAAAGACTGAAAAAGAAAAGTATAAAGATTATTGTAATATAGTTTCATCGACAAAGAATGTCAAGTTCTTACCAGAAAAAGAAGTAACAGAATCTTTAGGTATTGTAACGACAACAGTATCTGAGACAACAAAAGTTATTACAACACCCGCCAGACCACCACCAACACCAACACCGACGACAACCACTCCGCGAACATATATGACTCGCGGACGGATACCTAACTTACAAACAGTTCAATCACTTGTAAATCCAATTTCATCAACAAATATAAACACTTCACAAGTTATTAATTTACCGTCTGTTCAGAATTGTCTCCCAATTTACTCCAATCCGCTTACATTGTTAGCAAACACACCTTCATCTACAGGATCGTCACCATTGATATTAACTTCTAGTTTAATGGCCCCCAGAATACCTAGCGGTGTGCAAGTATTGCTGCCTTCGAGTGGATCCAATCAATCGACATACCTAATGGTAACGGGTCCTAATGGTAATCTCATTCCTGCCACTAACATATATACAACAAATCAAACTAATTCATACCAACAAAATACACCAAATATTGGACAAAGAATTAGTTATATGGCGCCTATAATGCAGACATCACCTCAAATAGTCAGACCCGCGACCAATGTATCGACTGTCAACCGCCCAACTAGATCTTCAATCACTGTTATTCGGCCACCAAATCCTCAAAGAATTAGGGGTCCAAACATAGGCTTTAGGCAACCTGTTCCACGTCTCCCAAATACTGGTATCAGAACTCCTAGAGGACGGTCACCTAACCCACAAACTTTAATGAATTCTGAGCAACAATTTGATTGTTTGACTTCAATTTTTACAGTAAATAATAATAAAATTAATATGAGAACCATTTTGACAATAAAACCACTGCCAGAGTCGTGGCCATCAAATATTGATGATCTTATCGGTTCTCTCGTGAAATTAGGTATTACGCTATTAATATATATTAATAAAATTTTATTACCGGTACTATTATTAATACTTTATGCCATAAATTATTTTAGACAATGCTTTGATGAGAGAAAAATTTAAAGAGTCGCCCATTACATGGATGGTTAACTCACGACTAATCATACCTCCGAAGTGCAAAATATGTAATATTGGTTTCTGTAATCAAGTTAACAAAACAGGCAATAATCGCAATGAGTACTGGAATTGCAATAACATAAGGTTTGTTAATAAATGATAATTTATCGATAATCTATTGTATATACAAATTATCATATATTTAATTTATAAATAGTTGTAACGCCGGGCAAGTGATTGATAGACCAAAAATCTTTATGGACATCAAGTTTGACATTCCGACTTCAAAACTATTATTTATAATATACTATTGGTCCATTCAAGTTGATGTCGAGGATCTCATTAAAACGGGTCAGATAGAGATGGGACCCGAAAAAATATTCAACGTTTGGCAACAATTGCAAAAAGTTTGCTCTTTTGCATTGCGAACAAAAGACGCCAAATTAGGCTCTAAAGTGATGGATGTAGAAGTGGCCACAATTAAAGTGGGACAGTGTGTTGTGTTGGGTGCTATGGAGGACAAAACACGTCGCGTCAAAGTAGCTGTTTTTGCTCTTAAAAATAATAACAGCGCCGGTGTTCTCAAACTAATGATTCAAACACTTATCAAATGGTTGGACAAAAATATTACGATTAAAACATGCGAATCAAAGTTTACGACTTTAAATATTAACGGATTTAAAGTACAAATGATATCCAAGAATGTAATATTACCAACAAATAAAAATTTGAGTCTCACTTCAATTGGCGGTTATCTAACACATCATTTGAGTAAATTTTTTAAAGATTTTGATTTGTCGAGCCTTGGACTTGAAATTATTCAAAACATTTTGGATGAATTACTTTGGAGGGAACGGTATGGTACTAATCCTTATACAGCATTTTATAATATCATCAAACATATTGGTGAACAATGCGGTCTTAGAAAAAATCATTATACGACTAATATAGTAAATAACACTTCATTTGAAACTACTGATACCTCTGCATCTCTTAATACAAATAACATACAGACCTATAGCAGCAATCGTGTTATCAATCGACAGATAAATATACCGGTGCTTCCAGTGTTGGATGAAACTAATTCAGTATTTGTTGACGAGTACTTCTATTCATCACTTAAATTGAAGACCACTTCTCAAGTAAATAATACACAGGAAGAAGTATCAAATAAAGACAGCATTCAATGCCATTTGTGTCAAATGTTTTTTAATAATATTTTAATTGTCAAACATTTGTTGGAACACTTGGAAGTCGAAAGAGGTGGTCGAGTAAGGAAAGGTGATAACAATGAGAGTGAATGCAAACACTGTTTAAGATTTTTTACAAAACGATCTCTTCATATGCACGAAGAATTGGTTAGTGAATTGAAATTTATTATTATTTACAATAATTATAATTATTTTTAATTATATATTTTTTAGACAACTTTAAAAGTGATTCCCTTTTCGTGTCGCATCTGTTTAATGCCATATTATGCGAGACAACCATTCATTCAACACATGAAGACAACACATTATGCCGGAGAAATGTGAGTTATTTTAATGATTATATACAATCACTTAATACAATATTACTGTTCATTGATTTATAGGCCTTATTATTGTGATATCTGTTCATATCGTTCATCATTTCAGAAGAATCTTTTGGATCATTTTGAAGATGTAATTATAGTATTAAATATTATTTTGTATTTAAATTAAAATTAAATGTTTAATAGAGTCATACAAATGAATGTCAAATAATGTGTCCGTTTTGTATCCGAGTCTTTCATTTGGCAAAATTCAAAAATTTTTCTCAATTTATTTACCGACACATTCAAAATCATTACGCAGTGGCCTCTGTTTATGACTGCGAAAAATGTGGCCTCACTTTTGCAACTAAACCTGATCTTAAAGATCACTATTTCAGAGGACATAATTTAAGCAATACAATTGATGAAAGTAAAACATTGCTTTCATATTTTCAGTAAATTATATAATTTTAACTAATGTTTTAATTTTATCTTAGAGTTTGAAATACAAACGTTTGTCGTTCAAGAAGAGGACAAAAACCTGTGTATCCGAGCGCGAGAAGAGGAACTCTTTACACCATTTTTACCAAACATTGACAACACTCTACCAAACTATGAGTCCAACATTAACTCCAATAACAATAATAATGAAGAGATGAGTTTTGAACCAAACATTTTAGATTTGCTGTCTATAGAGCCGGAGTGTAATATTGATATTTCCGATTCAAATACACCTTTTGAAAGTTTCGTATTACCCGTTGATTGTGACTACACTGTGGATCAATTGAAAACAATATTAACAAATAGTTTCGATCTAAAACCTAAATCGGAAGTCAATGAAGCAAATGAAATGAATAAGCCTTTACTACTTTTCGATAGTAATCTTATTGTTTGTTTTGAGTGCAACGTCTATCTGTCTCCCGACCACTTCATTGGCAAAAGTGTTTGCGAAAAATGCAATTTTAGTACTCATTGTAGAAATGCTTTCGATGAACACAAACTAATAGCACATTCATCACCGGTTACACTAACGGCAGCACCGGGTGAACCACAGCCACAGCCACAACAAACCAATCAAAGTTCTGTATTAAAGAGTTTCTCTCACTTGACTTCATATAACATACACTGCGGTGAATGTGATTTCACAACAACTGATGGAAACCTAATGGGTATTCAATTAATTAATATTTTATTTTTTAAATTACACAAAGTTTATAATTATTTTTAATTTTACAGCGCTTCACATGAATTTCAATAATCATTTAATCTCATTGTGTAAACAATTATCACAATCATGATATCAATATTATTTTGTTAATTTATATTATTTTCAATAACATTTAATTAAACATTTTTATAAAAATAAATGTTGTTTTTGACAACTATTGAAACGATAAAACTCTAAATTCAAATAAAATAATTTTTATTATTAAAGTTTGATATATTGTTGCAATTTTGGTCATGAATTTAATATTTAATTTGACTGTACTTGAAGTGTACGACCACCACCATGCACAATTTGTTAATACAAAATAGTTATCAACTAATAATCAAATTATTAATTTTAGACAACTTTTGATTCGAACCGAAACCGCAATCAAATGTACTTTCAATTGTCATTTCGGTTCCGGTTTTTACAATAAAATCATCAAAACTGTTGAGTTTATAGCTTCTAATTAATTGCACACAAATGTAATGACTATTATTGCCATCTATTGGTTGTCGACTTTGTTTACAAATAGTGTTTGTGTTTGACATCACATGAATTGAAAATTAATGTTTTAATTATAAATTCAATGAATATATGATTGAATTATCACTAAAATAATGCCAAAGTATTGTCACATTTATTAACATTTTATAATCAATTATTGTTTTATTAATCACTTGTTTTGTCATATTATTTAATATTTAGATATTATTGCGATTATTGCGATACGTTTCTCACACACGACTCGGTTAGCAATTGATTGACCATTTGATTGACTATTAATTGATTGATATATTGTTTGTTTTGAATGATTAGCCGTCGGTTCGTAAGACACACTGTAATGGACGCAAACATAAGGAAAATGTAAAGTTTTATTATCAAAAATGGATGGAGGACCAAGCTCAATCATTAATTGATGCAACCAGTTAGTAGTTATAGTTTACATTAGTTTATATTATATATTATTTATTATATTTCATTGATTAACATAATTACAATTCATATCATTTGATAACTATATTTATAAATCAAATATATCTATAATTTTATGAGATATTGTATTGAGATTTAACAACAATTGCTATACTAATTGATAGTCAGTTCAGCGCAACGTTGGACACAAAGAGCATTATTTTCCTCAAAATTGGATCACTTATTAAACGAGGGTTTCTATCATTAATATCAAATCATTTATATTTTTATTGATTGCATTTATTTCTATATATTATAACTTATTTATAAATTAAATTCAACTTATTATCAGTTTATTTAAATTTGAAAATAACATTTATTGCCATATTTTTTATATTTATATTTTACAGACAATTATTTACTATTTTTTAAATACTAATTATATTATATTACTGGTAAATAATAGGATGCTTGACTATATACTGCAATTACTAAATTTGCATTTACAATTTTATATATTTCTATTAATTTTAGAGATAATAATAATTATTATTATTATAAGTTATATCTAAAATTTTAATTACATTTAAAATTTGTTGACTCGGATAACAAATGCATGAAAATTGTTATGAAATTTACAGTAAAATTAATATTTATTACCATAACTTTAATTTATTAAATTAACTAAATATTTAATTATTTTATTCAAAAGCGGCTGCATTTAAGGCAAGTAAAGCACTTTCGGGTGCTTTTGGAGCCAAACCGGGGGCAATATTGCCACCCCCGCCACCATTACCTCCCGGCGCAAGATTCTCAGTGGGCGCCGGCGGTCGACTACCTATCCTTCCGAACGTTCCGCCGCCTCCTCTGCCACCCGGAGCTGCAATGATGTTACCGCCGCCGTTAATGCCAGGTATGAGACCACCAACTGGACCGCCGCCTCCTTTCGCACCTCCGCCACCGTTGGCTTCTTTGCCAAATATACCGGCGGCACAACCACCGCGACCACCAACCTCTGCATAACTTATTTCATTAATTGACTTAAATCTAAATAAATTTCATATCCAATACATTTTTGGTTTATTTGATTTATCAACAATTTTAGTTCATTACATTTGGTTATTGTATAAATAATTAATTAAAAAGTGATAAATACAAAAATTCTTTAATGCCATTATATAATGAAAAGTATTAAAGAAATGTTTTTTAAATTTGACTAGAAATTGAAATTTTTACAAAAAAGCATTTAAATTAAATTTGATTCATTCATTATTTTAGATTATAATTAAACAAAACAATAAAATAATGATCAAATTGAGCAAAACGTAACATTTGGTGTTTTAAAGTCATTTGAAGTTAACTAAAAACAATAACATTTAGTGTGAATTTAAAATAAAACAAATATTCAATAAACTTGATGTCAAAATCCTAATAAATGGCAGCTTTTGGTAGTCATTTGGCATTTAAATAAACTATCGATAATTACTTGAATTTACTACTACTGTATTATTAGTGATTTATAGATAAAATGGTCGCAAACATCCAGAAATCAGATCCAATTATCACATTCTTTACTCTCATTTTCTTCAATATTAAAGTAGAAATATATATATAAATATTTTCACTGTATTTGAAAAACTTCATCCGTTAAACTTTATGATAACACACATAACCTTACAAATTATTCATTTAAGGCTTTAACAAAATAGGTATTAGATTAACAAATATATCATATAAAAGTAATTTGAATGTAATTTCATTGAATATGATTTAATGCTAATTAATCATTGTTTAATCGTATTCAACAAAAATGCATTATAATCCTGTTTGACCTAAAAATTATTTTTTATATAAATAGTCAATGAATTTTGTTATTCAAGTAATTGGTGTGACTTAAGAAATGTTGAAAAATTTTTATAATATATAATTAATATAATATATAATTGCCGGTTGTATGTCAGGGAATATATAATATGTATTATATTATTGTAAATATAACTTTAAATTAGAAACAAATTATATTCTCATTAACTAATTTATGATAAAATGCATCATTTTTTATGTGTGGGAAATGAATCTGATTTTAAACAAATGATATGATTAACTAATTTTAACAAAATATTTCATATCTATTGTTTCATATGACACGAGATAAGAATAAGACATTCATTAAAATGGACACAATTTTGTGTTCAATCAAACAGTTGTTACAATACTCGTGAAGACCGGCTATTAAAGAGGCCTTCAATGCGATTCGTCCTTCAATTTAATGACTCATTAATTATGAATTTAAGATTTGCTTTATTTATATATTTATATAAATAAGAAATATATTTATTTTTCACTTTAAAATCACTGGTAATAAAGGGAATGTTTGATAAGTAAATAATAAAAAAATATTGTCAATGATTTCAATAAATATATTTTGTTAAACAATAATAAACGGAAATTATGTTAAATTTAATGGTCTTTCAGTTTCCTACTCGTGACTAAATAAACTGTATTATTAAAACATAACATCAATATTTAGCACAATGTATTAAAATTTATTAAAATTAAAGATATATTTAGTAAATATATAAGAAAACATTAACTCAGTTTCATAATTTTATATACACTAATAACAGTAAAAGAAAAACATTTTACTAAATAAAATTTTTAAAAATAATTTAAACGTAAAATAAATTATTTGAATATCGTGTAAAACATTTTAATATTCGTGTAATTCAATGGATAATAATCTTATGGTTCAATAGATAAATGCATTTTTTGCTCAATTCATTAAAGTTAAGGGCAGAGGTATTGAGTCAGTCATCAAATTTGTTGTTTAAATGTAATTTTATGAGACTATTAGATAATAATTTATTAAATGCTATTTAGGTTTTCTATGTATTATGAAAGCTTAAGAAACGTTTTTACAATTAACGGCATTAAAGTCAAGGATTTTAATATTAATCCATAAATGTATACTTTCTTTAAGCATTTGCGACTTTTTATACAATAATATTTAAGATCTTTTATAAATAAAATGTGTTAAAAAGCAAATCATTGCTTTGATTTTAAAGTAACAAAATAGAGATTAATTACAAACCAAATGATCACTTATCAGATCATTAAATAGTGGATTCACTTAAATCACTGAAGTCTTCCTGAGACTCAAACCGAGCCAAAGTGGCCCTAACTTTCAAATTATATCTTTCTTCACTTTTAGCCAATTTATCATCAAATACCTGACCCTTATATTGGCCATAAAAGGCTACTTTATATGCAACAATGGATGCGTGATCAAGTTTGCCGGGAACCATAGCTAACTTGTCACCCACTCGACGCCTCCTTTGTCGCTGTTCGTGCTGACCAAATGAGGAGTCGTTATTGTCATAGAGATCTGGATCTTCTAAGATGCGTCGTTTGGCTTGAGTTAGTTTCGTAGAAAAGTCAACCATAAGTTGACATAAATTCTTTGCTGAATTACATTTAATATCTCCGTCATTGACACCATTCATAAGTAAATCTTCCATTCGCAACAATGACAAGTCATGTCGTTGATGTGCCGTCACTACTGGCAGATTTGGATTTGGCGCCGGACGATGTGCTGAATCCCTGTCCGGATTACTGTTTGATCGCTTAAGACTTGACCGACTTTTGCGACTACCATTCAACCCATTGTCACCCGAAGGTCCGTTAGTTTTGTTCGTATTTGGCTTTTCTTTCTTTGGAATTGCAAACTTACCGACCACTGGATCAAAGTTATCGGATATGCCATCTGATGTCAAAAAGACAATATCTCCGCGTTCGACAACAGTCATGGCAACCGTTAGATTATTTAATTCAGGATTTGTGCCGTCGACAGGACCTAACGCTCCCAAAGCATCTCTCATATCTCGCATACTATATATGTCGTGAGATCCTGTATTTCAACAAATATTTACTTTTCATTATCAAAATGTTTACTACAATAATATGAAAGATTGTTTATTTATTATACCCTGAGTTATCTCGCGGACTCCGTGTTTCTCATTGTAGACATAGGCTAATGAGTCGCCAACATTACAGGTGCACACAATAAATCGGTCACAATTTTTAAGTTGACAAACAACCGCTATTTATAATATTTATTAACAACTTTAATAAAACATTTGTTTATACAAAATGTCAAATACCTGTACAAAGAGTGGTCAACAATCCATTTTCCTGTAGGATTAGGTTATGGGCGGCATTTAATGAGCGAAGAAGTGCTACAAATATGTCCTAAAATACACATATTTTTCAGAAACTATTTAATAATATAAAAATTTTTAAAAGTTTACAAACCATTGTATTTTCAATGCGTGAACCCTCAGAATATAACGCTTTATTTAAGTAATCAATAGCCCCGTGAACTGCACAACGAGCGGCCAAACATGACTTCTCTCCCCAATTGACGCCATCAGCCAAAGCCATAATCGCACTGTTCTCACGAACACATATACCAAAAGCATCGGCTATTGGTTCACCTAATCAATCATTTTTGTAATAAATAATAATTCAATGTATATTTAAATAATTATCTAATAACTTAACATTAGACTAATCTAATGGTACGGTAATAACAATTATAACAAATGTATTATACATACCGGCCTTTTGTTTAGTAGTTGGATGACATTCATATAGAGTAGTGGCGATACCGTATGCATGATCAGAGCCGGCGTCCCATTTGGTGATACCAGCGATCTCTTCGCCCAAAGCAAGTGTTTGACTTTTATGTATCTCTAAGTCCTCCTCTTCTGAACCATTTATTGACTGCTTTTGTTCCCAATTCTCTTCATTATTATTAATAATTTTATTTTTGTCATTATTTTCACTGCTTTTAGTGATTATTCCGTTTATATCCTCATTCTTAATAAATGGCAAACTATTATTTGATTCACTGTAATCTTCATCAATAAAGTCGACGTCAGCGTCGGCTAAATCAAAAGGTTTTGAGCGCCGATTCACTTGAGTTAGTCCATCACCCGGTCCGGTGGATGCCGTCACTACTTTTTTCGACAACTTATGTATCTCTTTGACGGGTAAATCATAACATGTTTTACCACTCAGAATATCCGGATGACTCTTTGTTAGCTTTCTATTGTTATTATATTACAAATAAATATTTTGACATTAATTTCACAAATAAATTACAGATTTATATTAAACATCAATCATAATAAATCAAATGAATATAATTAAAAACATGAGAAATAAATGACAACAAAATTGACAAAAATTATGTGACTTTCTTTTTGCTGTCACAATAAAACACTAACTTTTGTAAAAGTCATGAATTAAAACAATTATTTGTATAAAAAATTACTACTCTATTATAAAATAAGTTTTTGTTTTTATTTATAAATATAATAATTCAATATTACTGTTATTAATTGAGGCTATAAATTATACATTATATATATATATATATATAATTATTCGTTTAATTAAACTTATCATAAATTTTAAATAAAATACTATTTAAGTATATATTTATCACTTGTTTGATAGTCAAGCATAACTTGTTTGCCAAAACTTTAACTTTTGATTTGTTTTTTTCCGCAATAGATTTTGTCATTTGATCTCAAAGATAAATAATATTAAATAAATTGAGTTATCAACTAATATTGAAAATTAATAAAAATAGTTTTACAAATTTATTTATATTTCTGATTTAAAACATGATGTTTAGTGATGTTAATTGCATGAAAATAATGGCCAAAAAAAGTTATAAAAACAACTTTCATATTAAACTAAAAATGAGAAATACATTGAAAGCAAAAACCAGTTATTCATGTCTTTTAAAGTATTTATTGTATAATTGAAAATCATTTTTAAAAATATTATTTTCCTTCAAATTTTTAGACTAATTTATGATACAAAACAATACTATAGATATATTCATTAATTAACTAATTGTTAATATATTAATATTATAACTATTTAATTGATAATCAAATCAATATGAATATCATTACAATTACATACCCATTGAGATACCGACTAATGAATGAACCATTGCTTGAATTAATTGATTTATTTGTGTCCAACAATGGGTTGCGCTTTGAATTGTGGTTACAATTGGATAACTGATTCAATTGACGTCCAATCAGTTCACTAAATCTCTCCTTAATGTTAGCCATCAGATGATAAACAGACAATGTCTTCACTTCTCTTCTTAATGGATGACAATTAATAATTATAGTTATTAACAATCAGATCATTGATATTATATAAGACAATGATTGGACACTTCTGAAGATGAGATTTACACTGTTTTAACAATTGTTTGTTTTCATCAAATTGTTAATTAATATCACAGATATGTCATAACATGTGTCAGTCTCTCATAACAAGACATTTATATTAAATAATTTATTTAATTTTCGGGACAAATGTCATGTAATAACCAATTAGTTGATCACATAAACAATGGTAACAATAGTTTCATCATTTGATTGACTGTATTATCAATGGTTTGAATGGATGTTCAAAACAAAGCAAACTCTGAACTCAGTGTTTGTCTCACTGTTTGTAAGTTTTCTCATGTAATGCAATACCAGTGCTCACAACCAGTGCTCATAACCAGTGCTCAGCGCATACCCAGTGCTTACAGAGTGTAATGTTGTTGTTGTCGATGCAATGTATGGTAGAAATGGTTGAATTGGGTCACTTGACTCCCTGTGCTTACTATTACTATTATAACAGCCAATATAGCTCACCTTGAATTGCACTAAACATACACAACATAGCCTGCCCTCAGCCTATGCCTACCTGTGCTTTCATATAATGACCAAACACTACATACATATATATATATATTAATATATATATATATAACCTGTTTTTTGTACATCTTTTTTGTTATATAATACACACACCAAACCACTTAAGTTTTAATTTAATTAGTGTTGCTTTTTATATACATTTTTATTGCAAATTCAATATATTTTCAGTAATTTTGTTAAACTTTTTTTTTGCAAACAAACAAATATTATATCAAATGTTTTAACGATTAGCTTATAATGTATAACACAATACAATGAATATAATGCTTAGTCTAAAAGTCTAACATTTGAGACAATGATAGGCCATTGACTTAGCGATCATTGAATAAATCATCACTAATGATGACTTTGTGGGTGTATTGTACTAAACATCTCAAACATAAGCCAAATACAAACATATGGCTTATATGTAGTCCTATCCTATACTATAGGATATATCATATTTGTCTTACAATAGACTTATCATCAAAATTGTCTGCAATTCCGGCTCTTAAATGATCAAAATCTATAGCATATAATCATAAAAAACTGTCATTCAATTCAATTTAAACTTTATTATGATTTTACATAATTAACAATTGCCATATTTTAGTCAACTTTAATACAATTTGAATATCATGTTGACTTCAATTTATATATAAATTATATATATTGTAATTTTTATGGCAATTTTTTATTATAACCTTTTGAACTTAAAATTGATTTACAAACAAATACATTTAAATTCATTATTTTGTTTGTAATGTAGAAAAATGATATAAAAACGAATAATAAATAATGCAAATATCATAATATAAAAACATTGCATAAAATGTTTTAGTATTCGTAATAATTTTGCGAGACATACAATAAACATTATTATGTATTTTAACCATAAAATTATTAATATATGAATCGCATTTACTCTATGATTAACAATCTGTATAACTGTAGAGTCTATAGACATTTATATATTTATATTCTGTATATATTAAAATAATATCTGAGATAACAGTTATCATAATGTTTTAGATATTTCTTAATATAACGTGTTTACCATTCAGCAAAACACGTGTTGTTGCATAAGTAGCACATAAGTTGTTAATTAATAAATTAATGTTTATTTGTTTTCTAATGTATAGTTCAAACTAAATAATAAAATTAAATTAATAATTACTATTCTGTTATTATAATAAATATAAATAAAATTTTATTATACTATATATAGTACCATATATGGTTAATTAAATATCATTTAGTTTTATTTATTTTAAATAAAAATAATTTAATTCAATGGATGTAATAAATATGATATATAAATATTAAATGTTTACTACATTGTATTAGTAAATTATATTAGATTGAATTATAATTTAGAAACAATTTTGACAAATCGTTTTGAAATATTTATTTGTTATTTATTTTAAAAAAATTTTCGCTACAATTATTACATTTAAATTAATATTCAGTACTGTATAATACACTAAACATTTTCAGAACAAACTCGGTACTTTTTTATTTATATTACTTATGTTTTTTGTGCTACATTTGGTAATTATAAAAGATACCATATTGTCATGAGTTGTTTAAAAAAATGCGACATCATTTATGTAATTATATAATTATTTAATAGAGATATAGTTACACAAAAAACATATGTAATATACATAAAAAGGGCCCGAGTTTTCGATAGCTCATAAGCCGTGTATATAGAATATAATATTGTATTTACTGATAATTCCTGTTACATGTCATCAATGTATTCAATATAATAACAACAAAACCCACTTATTTGTAATAAATATAAAATAAAAGTATAAAATGAAACAATTAAAAATTGATAAAAAAATAAGATCTAAATAAAATGTGTTAAACTAATTTTAAAGTTAATTTGTTTGATATTGTATTTAAAAAAAATAAAAGATGAATAAATTTAATTGACTTTTGAGACCATTTTAATGATGTCGACCGCACCCATATTATAATATTCAATATAATTATTAGATTTTAAATGTAATGTAATAAAAAAAGTGTAATTTAAAAAATAATATTTTACAATATAATTTAATATTATAAATACAAGCCATATGAATATAATATAAGAATAAAGATTACATTAAATTAATAATGTATTTTTTATATACAAAATTTATTTACCCGCTAAACAATTTATAGTTAACTTTTTAATTATATTAAATCAATTTATCAAATTTATAATAAGAGTTAATTCAGTTTAGTAAATGAGAAAAATAACATAATTTCTTAAATATTTAATATCGTTGTTTACTGTATAATAATCAGGATATAATTAATTGTTTCTAAATTATAGATCAAATTTATCTATTTAGTAGAAAATATAGTTTAATTAATAGAACTGTAAATTTTATTAAATTATAGTTTCAACTAAATTAACTAAATTAAATTTAGATTATAATTGTTTTTGTACCTAAAATTTATAGTAATTTTGTATAATTTTATTTTGTATCCTATTTTATGCTTAAGTCTTAGTATTGTATTTCAACCGGTAATCCAATTTACCTGTAGTTCCCAATACTTACTGGTTCTCGAACTCAGACCTCTGGCCCTATAGACAGGTCATATACAAGAAGGGTTGTATGCGTCCAGAGTATACCTAATAGTCTGCGTCTATACGTTTGGTAGACATTAAGTGGAAGGCATTGCGACGATAATATAAATCTAAATAATATCTAATTATTAATTTTTTAAAATTAAAATTGTAAAAAATTTGAGTATTATTTTTTTGTTACTTTTTGTTACTATTTACGACATAATTATTGCTGACTCTCCGATACGATAGTCAAATCCATAAGTATTAATGCATAATAAAGAAAACAATTTTTTGGCAAATATATCACAATTATTTAAGACTGGTTTTTGAAACAAAATTAGTATAATATAATTGTTAGTGTAATACGTTTTTATTATTAATTGTCAAATACTGTACTATATATTATAAAAACAAAAATCTTCAATTAAATATCCACCCAAAAAAAACAATTTGTTTAAAAGTATATCAATTGTATTATAAGTTCATTAATCTTTTATCAAAATTTTAATTTAAAGTTTTATAACATATACAGGTATTAAATAAAACAAAATAACTATATAATATAGTATATATTATACAGTGTTATAAAGTTATTATTATTTAATAAACAAATAATCAATGATTATGGATATATATATATATATCAGGGTTGCTAAAGGTTTTCGATTTCAGGGGGGTATAGGGGGGGGGTGGTAAAATGGCAAAATTTTCGAAAAAGCTTGGGGGTATAGGAGGGGGTGAACATTTTTTATTGCATTTTTAAACGACAATTTTTGCCAAATTTGAGTAAATTCCCATTAAATTCCCACTAAATTCACATTAAATTCCCATTAAATTCCCATCAAATTCCCTATAAATTCCCAATAAATTAACTAATAAAAATATTCTCAACTTAATTTCTCAATACTAAAAATGTTTTCTAAATATTAAGAATTGCATAAATATATATATATATATATAACTATTATAATCATAATTATTAAATAAAAATATTATTGTTTTAAAAAAATAGTCATTAATTAAAAAATTAATGATATAGTACTGAATTTATTATAACGTTTTAATAATAATAATAATAAAAATAAAATTGGCAGAAATAATTATTAATTCTCAATACTCAAAATGTTATCTAAAATATTCATTTTTACAAAAATATAAAAAATAAAGAAATGCATAAATATATAACTCTATAATTATGATAATTAATTAAAAATATAATTATTTAGTTTTAAAAATTGATTTTAATTAAAAAATTAAGGATATAGTACTGTGTTTATTATAACGTCTTAATAATATTGTCAGAAATAATTATTAAATAACTAAATAATTAATTTTAAGAATATTTTTTTATATAGTACTTCATATTGAACTATAACTAACATATTTTTATAAAAAGTTTATAAATATTAAAATATAATAATTTTAAAATTTATGCTAAAAATTTGTTTTCGACTTTTAATATGAAATAATATATATATATTTTCATTTATAGAGCCAAGAAATGAAATAAAATATATTTAATTATTTATTTTTTTGAAAATTGGTGGGAATTTATTTTTTCCGTTGTGGAGTGCCCCAACTAGTAGTAAATAATGTTAAATTGATGTAATTAAGTACTTTTATCTATTTATTTTCTATACATAAGCTATTAATCTATATTAAAACTAATTTAATATTTATTTTTTTGTTTAATATAAAATTTTACAGTTGAAAAAAATTTTCGGCGCCTTTGGCGCCAAAAATTGGTAGGGGGCCCCCTAGCTTTTTGGCTTCAGGCCAGGGGGGGGTAAAAGCCAAAATTTCTCCATCTCAGGGGGGGGGGTAAGATGTCTTACCCCCCTACCCCCCTTTAGCAACCCTGATATATATATATATTGTTGGTCTCATACCGACCCACACAAAATAATCCAGTGTTTTGTATAATTGATTGGATATCACTATTAGTGTCACCGAATCACGCAATATACTGACCGTCTGTTATGACATCCATTGTCTCAATGGATCCCTTTCTCTTATATCATACAATTGTCAGTTCAGTCTATAGGATCCATGTTATATCCGTAACAAAATAAACATATAGTAATTAAAAGTTTATTTGATTATATTAGAAATTAGTATAATATGATAATATTAATAATGGAAATTATTACTATGTTATGTTATTACATTAAATAATTTATATAATGTATAAAATGTTATTTTTTAAATTGTAAAAATTAAAAACGAAATAGATTTTTGTTAGATTTGTTACAAAAAATTTCGGGTATATTAT